TCCATATAAATGCATCGTGAAAAGCAGGTCAACTTTTTCATACAACTTTGCGTGATAAATAATTATAAGTGATTGTAACCTCTATATTTATTTTTACTTAGAATAATTTTTAGACCTTTTTAATGTGCAAAAACTAAAATTTTTAGTTAAATAATTAAATTTAATAAATAAAAAAAAATGGTTTTAGAGGGCCACGATGTGGATGCCTAGATTGGATATATTGCTACCAATAGGACTGTTAATCCTATTTACTAACAATCCTCCTTCCTCCTTCTTTAGGGTAGCGGTAAGTAATGACTTCGGGGAGGGGGGAGATTGTTAGCAATCTAGTAGCTTCATTGCTAGCAATAAACCCTATCAGGTTGACCTTCAAATGGTCCCTTCTGAAAACCATAGTGGATAGATAGATAATTTATTTTCATTACTTACAGCACACAAATTACAGATATACATAAAAAGCGAGATAAATTATTAAAAAAAAAATACACAAAGTCAAGTACAAATCTTCCTTTTGTGCGTGTGCCTTAACAATACAAAATGGTCACAACTCAGTTTCTTGCTTCGCCCTCAAAAGAGCAAAGCACTGATATTCTGTTTAAGGCCAAAGGGAAGTGTAGTGGTTAATCCTTATTGAATTATTCAAGATGGACCAACTGGCCTGACTTCATTTTCACCTATCACCATTCCCTGGTGCGCCGCCAGCGTATACCGATAACACAGGCGGGGTTGCATTCTCATCTAGGTATATATAAAAAAAAAATAAACACCGGTATCCGGCCAGCGTAATCTAGTAACTCCAGCAAGGTTAAAAGTTTATTTTGAAGTCATAAAAAACAATTTTTTCTAAATTGGCTTGTGCCTAAGTACTATCCTTGAACTCATTAGATTAATTCGTTAATTATTTTGTTTATCACCGGTAAGTTAGTCCGATATTAAATTTGACCTTGATGGCTTATTAGTTGGGGGAAAAGAGATTATTAAAAATCTCCTACAGCCACCTTTCACCGTTGCACCGTTCGTCATCGACAGGGAATCCATCCTAATCATTTAGAAGCAGGATGATCACGCCGCACTTCAAGTAGCAATTATTTGTCATATTGACGTCGAGTGACTGAAAAAAAAAACAGTTGTCTACGGTACTCGACAGCGAGTTCACCCTCATACCCTACAGCATAAATGGTCTCTTACAACGCGGTTTCAGAGATGTTTTCTCTCACGATCAGGTCATGAAATGAGCTCCATGCCGAGGTTTTCCCACGAGACTACAGCATGGGGTTCTTCAATAGGAGGGTAAAGAGGTTTCTTCAGGATCGGCAACGCACGCGTAATACCTCTGGTATTGCAGGCGTTCATAAGCTATGGTAATCGCTTACTATCAGGTGGGCCGTACGCTTGTTTGCTACCACAGTGGTATAAAAAAAAACTTAAAGCGCAAACTACGCTTAGTTTGGTACTCCATGGCACCAGTAGTATAGGGCGTCCAATAGTGTTATTTAAGACGTCCTAACTTGACATACATACGAACTCTCTAACAGTCTCTAGTCAAACCAATAAACACTAGATCTCATATAAATGTAATCTAAATAGGCAATTGCCCATTTAGATAATAAGGTTAGACTTCACTCGAATTACTTATCACCCAATTGAAATTAGTGAAACAGTCCAACTACGAAAACAAAGTGATAAATACAGAGTACCTAATTAGATACAATATAGAAATGAACAAATTTCATATCTACTTTCGATGGATGCATAGATTAAATATTTTTTCGCCTTTAAAAGATAACTTTTTTTTTTTTTATACCGCTGAGGTGGACTACACATTCTTTATTCTTTCTTTTATTCTTTATTGTACACAAAACATATTGTTAATCACAATTCATTTGAAACATAATGTACAAAGGCGAGCTTATCTCTAATAAGAGATACATACTCCTTACTAGCTCAATAATTAATATTATAATCGGCATTCTTTCAAAATCTGCTGAACCGCCACAGTCTATCTACAAGAAAAAAAAAATTGAATTGGCAGCAAAGAAAATCATACTTTAATATAATAACCACCGGTTTAATTTTTTTTTTATTATTATTTTTTATGCAATTTAGAATGGCAAACAAGCTGACGGCCCACTGATGGGAAGTGGTAACCGTCTCCTATAGACATGAGCAGTACCATGGACATAACAGAGTATACTGTTTCGCTCATGACTACTTACATACTTACTTACTAAGGATCACGATTGATTCCGAAACTAGCGTAGTCTTTTTTCAATCTATTCACACGTAAGTTAAACCGGTAATATTACGTTAAAATATAATGTGCGAGTTCATTGAAACATTTAACAATAAAAGAAAATAATGTATGAGAAAAAGAAAAATGAGTTAGGTAAGATTTTTCCAATTTTTAACCTTCTTCAGAACCTTTCATGGACTTTAACGTATTTATTTGGAAGTAAAAATTAGCTAAATTAGTCCAGCAGTTCTCGAGTTTTGCAACACGTATAGCGATTAACATGTATGTATTTATATATAGACAGATATATGTGAAAGTTCGTTATGAAAGGTATAAGCATACTATAATACTTGAGATAGAGAAGGATATAGTTACTATTTATCATGACTTCGCCCACGTCATCGGGATATCAAACAATCAACAAACATAACAATTCTGGTCACGTGGACGAAATCGTGGGTGGAGGGTAAGACTAGGTACATATTTAATAAAATATGGATAAAATTTCCCCTAGGTTCTATTGGAGAAACTTTCGAAAATGAAATAGTTGGAAAAAAATTTTCATGCACAATTTTGTTTTTAATTTTGACACTTGTACAGCTTAATAACATGAAATTATATCCTACACACGTAGTAACATTAAGGATGGCTGATTTTCTTTCCTCATCCTTAAAAATATAAGTATTAGGGAAAAAGAAAAGAAAACAATGTTCTATTATTTTTAAAATTTTTATCAAAACAATTGACGGAAATGAGAAATATCGGAAGTTCATTAACAGATTCTCTCGTCTCTATTTGAAGAAAAGTAATTTCAAATTTGGAATAAAATCGCACCTGGCTTTACGCGCCGAAAAGGCCACCAACTCAGCATATAGTAAGTAGGTACCTGCAGCGATAATATACTTTTGGCATCCGTACACAGAACTCTAACCTCGAACTACGTTTTTGCGAGGTTATATACCTACCAGATAGGCTAATGCATGTTAATCTATAAATACCTAATTGCCTACGGTGTTCGTTTGTTCATTTGATAACTTTCGTATGGTTTGGTAGACGTACGAAAGAAAAATATTTCGTTTCGTTCTTAACTCTTCACTTATAACAATAAAACAATATTTTAATAATAAAAATTAAGAAAAAGAAAAGCATTAAAATAGTGTCACTTTACGCACTCTAATGAAATACCACCGATAAAAAAAAAACAGAAATAATTTAATAACAATACTAAATTATTTCTTTTTTTTTTTTACACACGTATTATTATTAGACAAATTAAATACGTTAATTAAATTTTGATGTTGGTCGCGCCTTCTATAGATAGGTACTTGTATCAACTCGAACTGTATGTATGTATAAATAATAAACTTATAGATAAAACCAGCAACAGTTGCAGTTCATAGCTTTGCTCGCGTGTTTAAAACGAAAAGTATCCAAGTGAGGCATTTCAGTTAAATCTGTTAGTTTCAGCGTAGTTTCGATAATTTTTACATTTATCATATTAGTAGGATAAGAAAGTAGTAGATACTTATTTAGGTAATAAATGCGTCCAAAGAATTCAAAATGGAGTCTTCAACCATAGATAAAGAATAAATAAAAATAGTTTCGACTTTGATGTTTTTTCTTCACACAATTTACTCTCGTATTGATCACATACTTTATATATTTTGTCAATTGATTATAGTGCAACATTTTTAGATAACGATATTTTTTATTTTGTAAAAAAATACTCCACTTAAATGTGAATTGAGAATACCTTTCTATCTAGCAGTATCTACAAAGTTCAATTTTTTTTTAATTGGTAACATCTAAATAAAAAAGATACTTAAGATTAGAGTTCACATAAATTTTTAATTATCTACCCATTACCCACTAAACTATGTAAAAACTTTCACAATACGTAGACAAAAGGAAAATGTAGCTGTCAAATGCAAAAAAGATGAAAAAGTTTAGACTATTCAGATTTACTCAACACTGAATCAAACTACTCCTTATTTAATAACAGGTAGGTATTTTAAGAAGGTAAAATTTGTTGTTTCTTGTTCATGATACATAACTATAATTAAGTATTTATCCTGGTATCCATCTTATACAGCAAGTTTTTAAACTTAATAATCATAAAAAATCGTGTATTACAATTTTATTGTTATGGTTTTGTTTTTATTTTCTATATTGATAAAGTAGGTAGGTAAGTGATATGTACACCTACACAAACATATAGAGTTGGTAGCAGAATACAGTAGCAGCCAGTAGCAGCCACACAGTTTGGTACCTAGTAATACCTAGTTAACTATTGAATATTTCGCTAAAGTATGATTTTTATTTATATATGACTAATAAAAAATTTAATAAAAAAGAAATTCCAAAAGCCACATTTTTACATCTTTTTTAGTTACATCCACACCTTTCATAGTAAATAAAAACCAATTGAGTATTGCCATTTTTAATCAAAATCATAAACATAGTAAATGAGCACGTTGTAACTAACACTGTTTCGTAACAAATGCGAATCTTTATGATTTGACGAATGGCAAGTCTAGTACAACAGTGAAAGTGCTTAACCCATGTACTCCTCCCACCCGCATGACATGTTCATGGCCACCCTTGTATCAACAATTTATCAAAAACAATTTCCCATATGCCGCATATAACTTCTGCATTTATCTGATAATAACAGGTATCCTGAACCAGAAAATATCGGACGATGTAACGGTATTCCGACCGCCAGACTTTTTTACCTGCATGAACAAAGTAATATTGAATAACTCACCTTATAGTAAACATCCATAACAATGATATCCGGCAATGAACGCAAATCATTTCTGTCGCACTTAGATTTCTGCAAATAGTTCACTAAATTCGTCAAACACAATTCGTATAAATTATTAGGTATTTTGTTCGCACGTCTCGTCGTCGACGCGTCAGCCATTTTGGCGAGGTAATACATATACAATAATCTGAGCATTTTGCAGATAAAATATTTGACGGCTACATTAATTCGCAGGAACTTCAGACCAGTTTCACGTCTGCTATTGGTTGATTTTAAGCTCACTTTTGAGTTTATTTAAGAGAGTAATGCCCATTGGTCAAAATCGAAAGAAAGATAGAAAGAGAAATACAATGCATCAAGACCGGGATAATGAACTAAACAAATGGTATACGAAAGAAATAGAAATAAGTTTCACGTTTCATCTATAACTACAGCTGATTTAAAGAGTTGCGTGTCAGCTGACCGGCGTCGCGGGAACTTTGATAGAAGAAATTGTTCCTTTTATGATATCCTTGGACCTTATATTAAAATTATATTTGTCTTATTTCTTTGGAAACCATTTTATATTATTAGCTTTTTAAATTAGCTTATTTAAAAGATAAACAGTATGATTAAATGTTGTAGTGTTCAATATTGATTCATACGCAGTTTAGCAAATAATGAATCAAATATGTTATTGTCTATAGATTTACTTTATCAATACTAATTTAAATAATTTATAAGTAAATATTATAGTTTGAATTTTTCCTCTAGCGATATCATTAATAAAAAGTGATAAGATATTTATAATACAGGTACGATACCTTATATTACGAGATACAACTACTTTATAGTAAGTCTATGTAGAATACAGACTGGAGGATGGGATGTGGAAAAACTGTGGAGAGGATGTACAGTAATACCTGTGGAATAGTAATACTCCTTATTCCAGACAATTTATCATATTGAAGACTAGGCAGCATGGTCTCCGACCTTAGCCTGTTCCACAACGGAACAAACGTACTAAAAAAAAAAGTAATACTCCACTATTCGTTCAGAGTAGTAGTTGGTAAAAACATGAAATATCAATGACAACGAGTAGCATGACACTAGTTCTGTAGTTAGTAAACAAAGATTATTGGGTGAAAAGAATTGTTAATAATAAGAATCTATGATATCCATTATAATACGAACTACAAGTCCCGTTATCAGCAATATACCGAATCAGATCGACCTCCATGCCTCCTCTCCCCCTACCAGAAACCATCGTGTTAAATTTCACGTGTAATCATAACGATGGTGTACTGACCTGTCTTTTTATACTCACCTATGATTTTTCACTGATGCCCCGCTAGCGTAAAGTTAACGCAAACAGGGTTGCCATGCTTTTTATTCATTTATTATTTTTAGCAGTTTACACATGATTAAACTCCAACACACTACAGGTAAATATAATTTTTGTACATATCAAGTTATTTACAAATTGTTCTCCATTGAAAAACATTTCTAGCAATATATGCTATTAGGTCGACCTTCAAGTGGTTCCCCATTGGTTAATATCCCATCTTGGACAATTCTTGTAGAATTCGTCACGATGGGATGAAAGTAGATTATACTTTCATCCCCGTCTATCATCTCTCACTGACGCCTCGCCAGCGTATATCTTATACTGATGGGTTTATCACTGTAATATTCTCCATAAAAAAGATTTTTTTTTATGGATGAAAATGGAATGGCAGCTCTACCTGCGCTACCGGTATACGCTGCTCACCACCAGTGAAGGGTGATCGATGAAAATGAAAACAGGCCAGTTAGCCCATCATGACGAATTCATCAGGAATTAACCATGATAGTTTCCAGGGGGAACAGCGAGGAGGTCAACCTGGTTGGGTATATTGCTAGCAATGGGATTCTCAGTCTCCATTACTAACAAACCCATTCCCCCCAATATATATATTGGGACATCATAGTGACCTCTGTTTGGATGTTCATGTCTATAGGTGACGATTAGATCAGGAGTCAGTTTATTAATCTTTGTAAAAAAGTGTAAACTGGTTTTTACTTGGAATGGAAGAAAAAAAAAACAATAGAAATTAATTGGAACAATTTATAATCAGACAAATTATAACTAAACATAATTAACACAGCAACCGGCGCTTGTACAACTAACTAAACTAACTAACTTAAAGCTGTCGCCGAGCGAATAAATGCATCTCTCCTTGACCTGTTCTATAGAGATGTTTAAATTCGAGTATATTCTGTAACACGATAAGTATAAACTGCAAAACGTCCCAAATGTACAAAACCAAAATATTTCATTCTGTGAAATATGAAACATTCATACATTTTATTTGTATTGAAAACTAATGAATTATAATTTAATTTTTATACAATAATGGTCTGTGAAAAGAAATAACATTTTTTAATATAAACTATTTCTGTTAGGACAAAATTTTCCGACGATATCGTTCACTCTTTTTCTTTTGTCAGTCGGAATCAGTTCTGGAGAGAAGACACTACTGTTTGCCGATGGTGAATTTGGAGATGGTCTCCAGTAAATTGATGTAGGCGGCGTGCTCGTACGCTGTACTGAAGTCTGATAACTTTTGGACGAAATCGTTGCTGATGCCCTTCTCTTCTAGCAGATTCATCAGCAGATCATAAAGATACTGTAAAGAAATAAAAAAATAAAATGTGATGAGGGCTTCACCAGGCAGGATATATTAATTAGTACTTTAACCTATTTTTGTTTGTTAACCAGGGATATAGCATTTAAATTCGGTTGAATCACCTAAGTCTCAGTGATAAACATCAAAATGACAATGATTAATGACAATATAATAGACAAATCATCATAACTCTTGTTTCCTCTAAAAAAATACAACAGTAAACATATCTACACTATTATTATAAAGAGGAAAGATTTGTATGTATGTAATGAATAAACTCAAAAGTTACTGGACAGATTTCAAAAATTCTTTCACCATTAGAATGCTACATTATCCTTGATTAAGAAAGGCTATAGAATATTAAAAAAAAAATTAGGTATCCATATGAAAACTTCGATAATGTAACTCAAAGTGTGAAAAAGATACCAAAAATCCTTATACGGTATATGCTGCTTAGTGTAGGTACAAATAGTAATAAATTTAGTAAAAAACGTATTTGAAAGTAAATATGATTAAGAAAGGCTATAGAATATTAAAAAAAAAAAAAAAAAATCCATATGAAAAGTTCAATAATTTAACTCAAACTGTAAAAAAAATACCAAAAACCCTTATACCGCATATGTTGCTTAGTGTAGGCACAAATAGTAATGAATTTAGTAAAAAAGGTATTTGAAATAAATGTAATAAATTGTAGCATGTCGTCGAATATGCCCCCATATAATCATCGGACATCAACTTCGATTTAATGCGTTAATATACCCCATTGTTGGCACTCAAACACTACATGTATTATAGTTTCAAGCGTGGCAATGAAATGGGGTGGTATTTGTAAAATGTCTAGTGTTGGGAATCGAACCCAGGCCCTACACGTAAAAGGCGTTATTATACCCATCAGGCTGTGAAAACATATAGAAAAAGCAACGAAAAACATGACCATATGATACTATGACCTATTATAGCCTGTTATTATAGTTTTTTTTTATTTTTTTTTGTTCAGTAGGATATTACTACTAATCAGGTGAGATCACTTTCATTTGTGTATCCTCCCAAACATGGTAACAAATCATTTTTAAATGATTCAAATGCGAATTTGAAACATTGAGAGCGAGGGATTTGAACTTTTATTATAATAACCACTATTATTGTTAACTCTTCACATTACAATATTTCATTAAATTCGTTTCGGCGAATGCTATTCTAAAGATAATAATAATTGAGGCTGTGGCCCATCAACGTTTAGAAATCCTCGGAACGGTGAGGTCGCTCCGTGAGGTCTGTGAAGATTCCAGCAAGCTTCTGCGCTTCTGGGCAGAGCTAGGTTGGCTGTACTAGCCACGACTCATACGCACAACGGCCCAAATGAGAGGCTAAGCGCGGAAAATATAGTCCTATTCACATTTCACGATAATAATAATTTGTTACCATTTTTTAAGGGAACATATACAAAAAATGAACATCGAAGCACAATATATTTATATATTAAGATATTATATTCTAAATCATAAGAATCTGTAATGAACTACATTTATATGCACTGTATTTCACTGTAATTCTATTTTCAAATACCAACCCCGTCCAGCACGTCGCCGGCGACTGCGTACACCTTGTCGTTCCAGTCGCCTTTGTAGATCGTCACCTCGTCGATGCCGAATATATCATCTGTAGCACAAAATTTTATAGCAGTCAGTTAAATCAGGTACTTATCAATATATAACAATATTTCGTTTCAGAAAAAAAAAAACTAATTCAAACCTTCTTAAAATTGATGGCCAAATGTATAGAGAAATAAAAAAAAAATACTTTAAGAAAAAAAAGAAATATTTTTATTCAAGTAAACTTTATTTAATTTGCTTAAGCATATTTTAACAGTCTTTTTTTTTTCATTATCACCCATTCGGAACACAATTTCAGCCAAGAACGGACAGACTCAGATGTACTCATAAACAAGTAGTTATAATGTGAACTAAATACATGTATGAAGTAGTTTTTATATATATTTAGTAATCTTAGTAATTGTGGGTTTTAATAAAAATGGTGCTTTAAAAATAAAACAGCAATTTTAGCTATTTATATTATTCTAATAAAAAAAGCAAGTAATATTATTCAGTATATACCAAGTATAAAAAAATCAATTATAAATGTACTATAAGTGTATTATGTTTCAGTACCAATAAGAACTGATTAGTTGAAATGATGATAAGCACTTACTGTATTCATCACCACTGGTCGGTGGCGGCTCCTGCAGGAATGAGCAGGTGAACCCGAGTGTAGTGTCTCCACGGACAATGTCAACTTCAAACTGTGGCTTTGAGCGCATCTCGGCAAACTCCTGCTTCTCCTGCTGTATGTCACCCTCAAAGTCATCAGAGTCTACTGTGTGGTTTACATTGAAGGTTATTCTGATACTGTAAAGATATACATATTTATTTTAAATCTAGTTATAAAATAAGTAGGATGTGAATATAAATTATTTATTTATTTAAACTTTATTAACCAATAAAATGTGGTACAACAAGCAAACTTCATGCTATAGGCATTCTCTATTAGTCATCCTTTAGGAAGTGCAGAGATACTAGTAAAATAATATTGTTGGTACATTTTAATGGGCTTCAAAAGGTTTATAATAGCATTATTTTTTTATGCAGATGCAGGTTGTTTTTTTTTTAGAGATAGGACAGTATTTAATTTCATTTTCGAGATGGTCCCTGCACAGAATAAAAATCAATTTTATTTTTGTGTAATCAGCTACAAACAAAAAAATATTGTTCAGATATGATATGATACACCAGTAGATTGTTATGGAACCTTTTTTAAAATAAAGATATAAAATCACTACAATTACAACAACCATGTGACAAATCTGTGTTATTTTTTCCAGAGTTAATTATTATAGAAATCGAATTTACTTGTTGTTAATCCTGTTATTTTAAATAACTATCTTCTTTTAGTACATAAGACAATAATTTAATGTATTTTCAACAATAAACAATTGTGGTAAAAAATTATATTAAAAAAACATAAAAACAAATACTACTTACAGCTCATCTTTAAGTTGTTTGCTGAGTACAACCTCTGCTCCGTCTCCCTTCACTGTGAACCCCTCCACATCACTGGGCAATGTCTTCACCTTTTGTGCTTTGCGTTCTGCCACTATTTCTTCAGTGAGGAACTCTACCAGTTCTCTTTCACCTGTTTATAGAAAAATAATATATTTCCTATAGTTAGGTGTATTAGTACATTAAAAAACTACATAACATTGGAAAGAAGATTCTCAAATGACAATTGTTAATAGATAAAAGCACAATGGTTAATAGATTTGAATTATTTCCTTTAATTTTATCATCAAGTAGAGACTTGACACACATGTTATAACACATACATCAATTGATAAATTGTCATAGTTGTAGCATACTGACGGATCTGACAAAGATTACATATAAAGATCTGTCACTATTCTACGACTATGACAAAATGGTTAGAGATTGATAGCTAATATTTAAAGTAATAGAACTTCTATTAATAATAATATACAAATATTGATAGTTGCAAACAACTTAATGGTAGTGGAATTAAACAACATAAATCTAATCAAATAACCAGTGATATGAACTTCCGTAAAATAACACTTAGTACAGTAAGAAATAATGGAAATTTAACAGAGAATTTATATACAATCAAGTACATCTAATGAAATTATTTATGTAGGTCTATTGAACTGACTCTACTATCAATTTGGAAAGTAGTTTTAACTTAAAAAAAACTAGTAAAAATCTGTTACTGTTGCTGTATTGTAAATATTTTAAAAATATATTGCAATACAACTGATGACTTTTGCATTATATGTATTGATTGGTGAAATCATTGATATTTTTCTAAAATATGTCCCATATTTTTATGCAGATAAAAGACAGAGTCTCAAATCTGGATGCAAATATGATATTAATGTACCCTGCAGATGGCGCTGGAGTTCTTCTTGTTTTAAAGAATCCAGTGTGGCAGATTTTGCAGGGACTGTGCAATAACATAAGTGTAAAATCAATCTTGAATAAATTGGTATTTTAAAAAAAAAATATCCTAGCTGATAATAAGTTAACCACAATTATCACCATATCTTATGCTTCATTAGTTGAAGCATAAACATTTTTTTTATAGGTGATAATGAAATAGTTATCCAGCCTGCTCTAAGAGTATATGCTGGTGTATCAGTATATCAGCATACAATGGGGTTCCACTGAGTGATCAGATATGAAGATGAAAGCAGGTTGTTGGCCCATCATGTTGAATTTAACAAAAATGAACCATGACAGATTCTAAGGGGAACCATGTGACAGTTGACCAATTAGCAATGGGAATTAAAATAACCATTATTAAAACTCTCCCCCCTCCTATTAAACTTAATTATTTTTGTCATTACTTATTCAGATGGAACATTTTTTATGTACATCACATAAAAAATAAAGGCAGATTTTTCATTTTGTAATAATAATTTGGGATAATATGGTGAAAAAGTAGTTTGATTTAATTTAATGGATATGAAGAAAAATTAGGAGTTAAGGATGGAATAAGGAGTAAGGTAAAGGACTCACCAAGAGGTTTGGATGGCATTGATTTATTATCTTCTTTATCTGCTATAAAATAATTTTCAATTAATTCAAATCGTAATGTTTTAAATACTATAAAAGCGTAACTGTTAAATGTTCAATTATTTTAGGGATATAGCATGGTGCAATCACATAACCTATAAATTATAGAGGTTAGGTTACCTTTTGTGTGGAGAGCTTTAAGACCGCACCCACAACTACACGTATTGGAATGATTGTGTAATAATCCAGTAGGTGCAGAAGGGCCGTCAAGTCTCTTGGAACAGCTCATGTGCCATATTCCCCTTGTGAAATCACGTTTCACTGGGGCTTGGGAACGGGTCACCAGGACACTCGATAAACTCGAGTGTTTCACGCAACTTTGTATAACCCTATGAGCGGTTTTAACCAAACCATTCATTTTTAATAATTATGAGGAATAAAAATATATTTATTTAGTAAGTTTCAAGAAATTGACAAAAAGAATTTGAAATTAAATTCTATTATAACAATTGAGTTTTACTTGACCTGGCCGGTTACTAAAAGTTGCCACATATAATATTTTTCTTTTAAAAAATAAAGTTCGTTATTCATAATCTATGGTTAGATATGGATCAAATTCTTTATTAAATCTCTTCACTAAACTGTTTAACTACATATTTAGATATAGAAAAAGAATGGCACTATCTCTATTTATGTACTCGAATAGTCTATACTATAGAATATTTCTTTCTCTCATTTTTTTTATACGTGTCAAATTTAAAACAAAACGCAAAAGACTAAAATCGCGGTATCTCTTAGATTATGGACGTAAGCACGTAGAAGTAAGAAATATCAAGTAGAAGAAAAAAACAAGTGTCACTGTCATACTGTCAATTTGTTACCATTTTTGAATTTATTTTTCTTTCAATCACGTGGACGATTCTTAATAAGACTTTTTGTACCATCAATTATCATCGGTTTACGTATATATTATCAATATATAAATTATTGCAGTTATGGGCAAGAAGCGAAAACTGGAAACAAATACTTTTACTCACAAACAAACATCTGTTGAGGTTATTATTAAAGATGTGAATGCTCATCCTCTGTGTTTGCATGGACCTACATTATTGTTTTCTAGTGAAAAAGGCCGGTATTATGCATGTGCATGCTGTAGAAACAAGGAATGTACAGTACACATTGAGGAGAAGGATTGGGAGAAAGAAGGCGTTAGAAAACGCAATGAAAAATATTATAATCTTATTCCTAAAATTGATAAAGATGCTTCATGGAGAAACTTTAATGAGGTTAGTACTTATGATATTGCTCTACTATCTATTCTATCTAAATATAGGGAATGAAAATATAATTTAAAAAATCCAAACATGTAAAGAAATTATAGTAGACTTGGATTCAGTTAAAGTGGATAGTGAACGGCTACACAACTTCTATTTCTGTGTAATACATTTTAGATTAACTGAGGTCAGTTGATAAAGCTTCCTTTTTAACTGATCACAGGTTCTTAAACTTTGCTACAAAATGCCGTTCTTAGGTGTATCTGACTGTATACCATATATCCAATGCAACACATTAAAAAGATGGGTTTCTGGTATGAATTTTATGTTAGTATAATACCCCTGATATTGCAGGCGTTCATAGGCTACGGTAACTGCTTACCATCAGGTGGACTGTATGCTTGTTTGCCACCTCAGTAGTATAAAAAAATGTAGTTTCAAAAAGCAATATCAGTTCAGTACAATATTTAAATATAAAATAAAATGTATTCCAGGTAAAATCCCGCCATGCATCAGACAGAGCCTACTGCAATACTTGTCAGGAGTTGTATATAGTGTCACAGAGTAGAAAACACACAAAAGACCACAGAGTAATAACACCACTGATTGATGAGCAGCTAGCACAGCCTTCTTCGTGGTTGCCTACTTTGGAGAATGATAGTGTTGAAGCACAGTATATGTTTACCAAGAAGTCGGTTGGCACTATTTTGGGTATATTGAGAAATAATAATGTCAAGTAAGCTGGTTCAGTACTTTTTATTTTATTAACATAAAATTAAACCTTATCCCTTTTTCATAATAATGTGATACATTTCATAAATCTATTTTAGCTATTGAAGTATAGTTAAAATAGATTTATAGAAGATTTTAGCTTTTATATATGAAGATTGTATACAAAATACTGATCTTCATGGAACCTCTAGCTGATATTATAACAGTTATGAAGGATATATTTAAAAGCATTGAATTAGGTATATACTTTTTCACCACTTATCTCTTAACCTAACATTTTAATTTCATATTCATTACTGTTTTATAGACTATTATAAACTAAAGTTTTTGTGATAATTTTAATAAAATTTGATTACTTTTTCATTACATTCAATTGAAACAAACTATGGGACAACAGGAGCCTTGTAGGTCTAGGCATAGAATAGGCTACCCTTTCTTTCCTGTGGATGCCATAAGCGGTGACTAAGGGAACTTATGGTATAGGGATAGATAGCATGGTCCCTTTTAATATATCATCAAAAGCCAAACTGCAGTTGCTACGCCACCTACTAAGTGTGGTAACTATTGTTAAGTAGTTAGTAATTACAAAACCCCTCATATTTTTTTTTATACAACTTAAAATGGCAAACAACCTGACGGCCCACCTGATGGAAAGTGGTAACCGTCGCCTATAGACATGAGCAGTACCATGGACACAACAGAGTATACTGTTTCGCCCCATGATACTCCCCATGCGTTGCCATTCTTGAGGACTCAGGTGTTATTCTTCTGAACCCTGTAAATTCATGCCATATCCCACTCTTCAAACCAAAACACAGCCATGCAAACACAACTGCTTCACGCTAGAAACACAAATGGGACAGAGGTACCCAAGCAATCGATTTTTGTACAAAGTCTCCCTCTGGTGAGGGATATTTGGGTGAGGCTATGTTCAGCAGTGGACAGTTAACAGCTGATATAATACAAATGGGACAAGAAAAAAAATCTTATAATTCTGTTGTACATTACAGAAATATCCTCTGCATTGGTACACCATCAGTCCATGAGGCAGCTCAAATGAGTTCTGAATTTAATTCCATATTGTTGGACTATGACACAAGACACCACCTGTTCCATGCTCCCTACAAATACATATGGTACAATATGTTCAACAACTACATGTTCAATGGAAACAATGATGAAAAAGTGTTGAAGAAATTCTTCAATAGTTCAAAGTAAGTTATTTGTTTATGATCCTTAGTCTGTGGAATTAAAAAAAATATGATCCAAACTTTATTTAAAAGTTGTTTTTGTTGGTGCCATCTATTGAGCAAAATGGATAAAACGTCACAGCAAAGTGAGACTTGGACGGTGTGCTACTGCGGTGATAGACAAGTACTTCACTCACTCGCTCTCTGTAATTAGCAAAGGAATCATCTTAATAAATATAATAAATTCATATTTCACAAAAGTAACAATAAAGGAGTTATTGAAGAGTTCCTGCACCCATAAACTTTTATACACACAAAAGGGAAAGGCGCAAACAGTTTTAAGTGTGATTGTATAATGTATTGAATTTGATTAGTTCATTTTTACAACATCAAAAAAACTTACATTCCCTCATATATTATTATTTGATGTCAGTATTAATAGCTGATTGGAAAATGATTAAGATGTTAAGTCTTCTAAGAATGTCTTTACTTCTTGTATTGTGTGCATTTATAGCAGTCAAATACAATAGGAATTAAGGACTATATCCTTTGAAAAAAAAGTTTGTAATAATCTAATTGTAATCCTTATTAATATATATAATCCTTAGAATAAGGATGTGAAAGTGAGTTAGTTTGTTTGTTACATTATAGTGCCTTAATGGTTTAACCAATCATGAAATTTGATATACTTATACTATATGGGATGGAAAAGCATTTTTTTGGTGGATGAAAATGGAATGATAGTGCCTGTGCTAATGGGATACGCTGGCGGAGCACCAGTGAAGGGTGATCGATGAGAATGAAAACAGGCCAGTTAGTCCATCATGATGAATTCATCAGGAATTAACCATGATAGTTTCCAGGGGGAACCACGAGGAAGTCGACCTGGTTGGGTATATTGCTAGTAATGGGATTTTCAATCTCCATTACTAACAATCCCTTTCCCCCCTCCTGGAAAAGGATTTAGATAAGCTCATTTTTATTCCAGTCATGCGGACGAAGTCGCGGGTTAAAGCTAGTAATAAAATATTGTTCACTTTTACAAGGATTAATATTTTTTAGATAAAAATCTAAATAGTTATTTACGCACCGTGAAATATTCTATGTGAGTGCTAAATAAAGATTTATTGTTATTGCAGAAATGGAGGCATATGTGTGGTGATGGATCCACCATTTGGCGGGCGTGTTGAACCCCTCGTCCACACGTTGCGGGAACTGACTGCTATTTACAAAGAAACTTGCAAGAAAGAAGACTCCCTTCCGATTTTATGGGCGTTTCCATATTTTGCAGAGCCCTACATAAGGAACATGATGCCGGAAATCAAGATGCATGATTACCAGGTATAGTAATTCACCATTACGACCCATTACTAAATATTGCGCTCCTCCAGTATATTTACCGTTCTATTTTGAGCCTTATGGCTTAGTATTTTTTTAATTAACTGACCTTTTAGCTTACACATGCCATTTAGTTAGTTGTCGGTCAATTCACTCCTGCATAATGTTTGATTTTTTTCTCTTAGCCCAGTGGTCTTTGTCTGCATAATCATTTCCTAATAATAATTGTAAAGTTTCTTTATTAAATTAGCCTTATTTATTAATGAAAAACTGCTAGCGTAATCTAATCATAACATGGAATGAGGTAACGAAATTGCTATATATAATATAAAAAAAAAAAAAACTTCGTGAATACTTTGAGAAACATTGACTGAATCAGTTGTCAATTTTAATATTATCACAAATCCAAATATATCCATTTTTAAAAAAATTGCTTTAGTATTAAAACATTTAATACACTTTTCAGATTGAATATGAAAAACACAAAAAGTTTCAAAGTAAAACTAAGAGTGGGCGAAAATTCGGTTCTCCAGTGCGATTCTTTACTAATTTGCCTCTAGCAACCATTGATTTATCCAACGATTCTAATTACAAATTTTGCGATAAATGCAAATACTGGGTTGCAGCGACTAACAACCATTGCAATAAGTGCAAGGAATGCACAAGCAAGAATGGAATGACATATAAGCATTGTAACACATGCAAGCGTTGCGTGAAGCCTACTTTCTTCCATTGTACGGAGTGTAACCGGTGTTGCCAGCAGAAAGACCACATTTGTGGCATAGCTGTTGAAAGTCAGGTAATTGTGTTAAGAAATTTTTTTCTTTTATGATAATTGACTGTTTACATAGATTTGATTGTAGACACTCAAAAATATATTTATTATTGAATGAAATTTATCACCTATCCTAAAGGTGATTTAAATGTATTTTTATGAATGAGGTTTGTTTGAATCGAAGCATTTGGCGTTCCATTGTTTCTGCCTACTCTAATGGGAGACAGACGTGACAGATATGTATGTATGTATATATGAATAATTGAAGTTTTTTAATTGACTTTCTTTAGAAGTCAAAATATAATTGGGGTTCACTACAAATCTAATAAATTATTTAGTTGTTCCGAAATTGCATTTTGGTGGTTTATTTGCATATTGGCAAGTAATAGCAATTTATTAGTATGACAACACATATCTTTTGAGGGGGACATTGTCATACAGTATATGACAACTTGCACATACGAGGTTACCATTCAACAATGTTTTTTTTACTATAGGTAGTATTAAAAATTAGTAAATTTCTTTTTATTTAAATTGTATTAATTAAAGTTTAACATAAATTATATGTGTTGCAGTCTTGTTACAACTGTCATGAGAAAGGACACAAACAATCGGCGTGTCCGCGGCAACAAGAGGGCGCCAGTGCAAATAAGAAGAAAAAACGAGTACATGCTTAATTGTTTATTTACAAATAAATCATTATAAAACGAATACTTATCTTTAATTGAGTAATCAATATAGTTATTCAATCAACCATAATCAATGATTTGTTGATACACAAAAGAATAATTACAAAAACTGTACAGTATTTAGTTAATGATCTTGTTTGTATAAATTATATATTGATAAAAATCATCTCAAATCACCAAGCAGAGTTTTGAAGTCCATCACATTGAGCTGAAACAAAATACAAATTTTGAAATAAGTTCATTGATATAAAACATTCAAATCGATAGGTTTACTGACGGGGATTGTTACAAACTCCTTTGTAATTTGTATTTCAAATATTGTATTCTTTTAATTACTCTTGTTTTTATTCAGTATAACTTTTTATATACTCTCAGTATAACTTTTCAACACGAACCGGCATTTTCTTTATTACAATCAGTTAACAATATTATTGTAAAAAAAATAGTAATTAAAAGAATACAATATTTAAAATACAAATTACAAAGGAGTTTGTAACAGGGATATCCTTTTTCAGCCCCCATAGAATAATCATTTGAGATTGGTCTTGCTGAGTTTTTCACGGCACTTTCTTCCACGCACAACCACTCTTTGGAATCAACTTCCAGCAGTAATATTTCCGAACCGATACGACAACATAACTTTCAAGAAAAGAGCATATTCCTTTTTAAAAGGCCGGCAGCACACCTGCAATGCCGTAGGTGTTGTGGGTGACTATGGGCGGCGGTAGTCACTTACCATCAGGTGAGCCGCATGCTCGTTTGCCCCCTGTGTTGTAAAAAAAAAAAAAATCCCTTCCCCCCAGGAAGGGATTGTTAGTAATGGAGACTGAGAATCTTATTGCTAGCAATATACCCAACCAGGTCGACCTCCTCGCGGTTCCCCCTGGAAACTATCATGGTTCATTCCTGATGAATTCATCATGATGGGCTAACTGGCCCGTTTTCATCCTCATCTATCACCCTTCACTGGTGCTCCGCCAGCGTATCCTGTTAGTGCAGGCGGGGTTACCATTCCATTTTCACCCGTCAAAAAAAAATGTGTTAACAACGCGAAAGTTTATAATTAACTACTCTTACTAAATGGGTAAACAAATAAATAGATTGATATTGTTGAATATGTTTTAAAAAATACTAACTTGACATTGATTTTGTTGAGTAACTGTTGCGTGGTCTCGTAGCGCGCCTCCACCCGGGCGGCCTGGTCGAGCCAGGCCTGCCGCACCGCCGCCCAGCGCGCCGCGTGCGACTGCAGCAGCTGCTCCCTGCTGGGCAGTGGGCCGTCGCGCTGTCCACCACGGACGATATAGTTAATAATTGGTTTTTAATTCAAGGGAAAATCTGTTCCGATTCCATTCTCACTGTATTTTTACACAAGTATTCAAAAAAAGTGTAATGTTATCATTCATACATATGAACCCTGGTTCATGAATGTATTGAATTTCTTTATTCCACCATAACACCTGAACAGGTCTGGCTGTATGGGGTATCATTAGAATAGAATAGAATAGAATAGAAATCATTTATTCAAATAAACTTACATTGAAGCACTTTTGAAAAGTCATTACATTTTTTTTAATTTACCGCTCGTTCGGAAAGCTAATCATCACAAGAAGAACGAGCAAGAAACTTGCGTGATGCTCTTTTAAATAATTTTATTATTATTTTATATAATTGTGTGAATACAAACCACCAATTAGCACTAATTCAATTAAATACTCAAAAAGAAAAAAAAAATTGAATACATAACCAACTGGTTAAACAATTAATAAGAGGAAATCAGTCATAGTGATTAGAGCAGACCAGTCCCTACAAGCAGCACCCGTTCACGAGTATGACGGATGAGCCAGCCATCACTGCGCTCGACCATATTTTAGGGAGCCCAATGACCCGGCCCACCACGCCGCCACAAGTCTGGACATTTTAGTGAGCATGACTACTCAAAACACTAGACCACGTCAAAGCTACTCACAATTGCCATCTGATAGTTATAGTATTCACATTTTACATAAGAATGCATGCGGCAATTAATACAAAAAACCGCTACGCTTTCATATTTCTAAAATTAATCAATTAAATCAAGAAAGCAATGAGAAAAAAAAATTATAACGTTGTATGCTAATAAACTAATTATTTACTTGATATGTTGTCATCTATGAATTCGTCTATCCTGTAATAGGCTTTCTTACATAAAAATTGTTTAATATAAGATTTGAATTGCCTCTCTGTCAGATTTAATGCAGATTCCGGCAGTTTATTATAAAATCTTATGCAATTACCATAGAATGAATTACTGATTTTGTGCAGACGGCATTTAGGTAAAATAAGCTTATTTATATTGCGTAAGTTTCTACTTGTACAGTCTTTGACTTTTTTAAAACTCGCTAAGTTCTTCCGTGTATACATAATATTTTCATAAATGTATTGTGAAGTAACTGTGAGGATATTTGAGTCTTTAAAGCACTGACGTAATGAATGAACCCATACCATAAATAGAACGTATGGCTCTCTTTTGTAAAACAAATATAGTATTTATATCGGCTGCTTTACCCCACAGCAGTATGCCATAAGACATTATGCTATGGAAATAACTAAAATATACAAGTTTAGCCGTCGCCACGTCTGTTAAGCTAATTCTTCTAATTGCATATGCAGCAGAACTGAGTCTACTGGCCAATTTTGAAATATGGGGCCCCCATTGTAATTTCGAGTCCACTGTTATACCTAAAAAACTGTATCATTAACAAAATTTACTATTTCGTCATTAAGCAATAACTGTGTATTTATTAGTCTTACATTAGGAAGTGTAAATTTTATACACTTTGTTTTGCTGGAATTTAATAATAGGTTATTACATGTAAACCAATTTAATATTGCAGACATAGCACAAAAAATCGTCTAATTGATTACTTTGACGTCAATTTTAAACACTAACGAAGTATCATGCAAACAGCACTATATCTGCAATTTTCTCTACCATAAAGGGAAGGTCATTTATGTAGATTAAAAAGAGAAAGGGGCCTAAGATTGACCCTTGTGTTCCATCTTAATATTACTCCCTTAGATTTTACGGGTCAATATCTACAGTTTGAACCCTATCCTCATTATTGAATCGCCTCATGTAACAATGGTCAGAAATTAAACACATAAGTTCATAAAACTCCTATTATACAAATATATAGAAAGAATTTAAAAATGAACATAATTATTAAAAATAATAAAAAAAAAATTATAGAGGTCATATGGACAAGTCCCTAATTTCAGGTTTAAGGATTAAATTTATTTATTCTTTATTGATGATATTACAAAAAATGTTTGGTATAAAAGGCGAACTTAATGCTGCATAGCATTCTCTCACAACCTATACTTACATAATTAAGATTAATATTGTTGCCACTGCGTTCCCTTTGTTCTGGTAACAGTTCTGGTATTCTAGACACCGAAGGGCCTTCAGGACCTGGTAATTCGACACTGTCCTCATTTGGTTCAGGACTTTTGAATCTAGATCTGAAAATATAATTGGACATCATGGCAAATATATTTCTAACTATTATATGTTTTTGTTAACACATGCATGATAAAGAACAAGGTATCAGATATTGCTGTCTTTGTCTATCTTATACATTAGATGGCAACAAATATATAGACAGATTTTAATGCTGTTTGCCCAAGGGAGTTTAGCATTATTATATAGAACTATAATAGAACATAGAGAAAATTTAATAGATACAAAATATTGAAAATGTAAATTTTATTCTTTATCTATGACAGAAAAATAATGACAAGATATAATTGCTAGCAATAGGGCTGTTAATTCCCATTAATGACAATTATTTTCCCCCCATGTTAACAATATCTAAATATACATAAATACATAATACACTCACCCAAATTTACTGTAATCGGCTTTAGGTTGGTTAGCAATCCATGCTCTGCAGATTGGGTATAATGGTGAATCTTCATCAAATTGTGAAAGGTCTACACTCCTGTCAAACAATTTCAAGACATAGGACTGGCGCTGTGGTGATGGCTTCCTTTGTGACCTGTCCTCCTCATCTGATGTGTAATTACTTCTGTTTTCTTGGGTTGCATTCCTGATAATAGTAAAAACTGTACATAGATACTTTTTATTTAATTAACAATAATGGAATTAACACAATATTGGTATATACATTTCTTTTAATAGATGATAATGGAATGGTACTAGTGAAAGATGATAAGCGAGAATGTGTATGTGACCAAATTTTGTATGTTATATCCTTAGATTATATATAGATGGAGAATTAATAATGTTATTTACAAGTGCAATAAAGAAATAAAGAATATATGTATAGAGCCTTCTAAACGGGTAAATTATTTGTTTAACTAATTGTCTAATAAGCTGACTTATTTTTTTAACTGCATTCTATAATATTTATGCATAAAATATATCTTGATTTAATAAATAAAGTTAGTATTTAATAAATAAAGTTAGTATTAAAAAGATGTAGAAATTATAAGACAAAACTAATATAGAAGTTATAAAGGAATCACTCATAACTATTTACCACACAAAATTGTATGAAAAAGTTAACCCATTTTTTCTCATAGCATTTCTATGGAGACACTATCTATATAATTTAAGATTATATCATATCATTATATATATTGAAGCTGATAAAGCACTGACATAGTAAGAGTAATATTGAAATTTCATTTCTAAAATACTGTTGATATAGTTTTTATATTTTTTATTAACATATTTTAGTCAGAACCTAAATGTATAAATTTATATTTCTAACCGATCTCTTTTCGTTGGACTATGTTCCAGCGAAGTATCGGAATCTTCACCGACTGGTTCCAATGCTTCCATCAGTGCACCTTTAAGGCGACCTCGCGCTGTAGATACTTGTTTATTATCTAGAAAAATAATGTTAAAGAAAATTAAAACAATGTCAGTTTTTTTTTATCAATACACAAGATATAATGTTAATATACATACATAATAAACTTTTAAAAAGATCATCTTTATTAATATCAGTCTGATTTACTTTTGTTTTGTTTTTCGATGGCGTCAATAATCGTCTACGTTTTGGCATTTTGAGTGTTATAAGTTATGGGGTTAAATTTAATAAGAACAAAAGAAAGATTTTCTAATTAGTTGAGGTTTTAAGAAAGAGTTTCATTTGATTTGAATTACGAATAAATAAATTATTTGAGTAGATTGGAGAACAGTTGTATTTATTTTGAAATTACAATAAAAAAAAATGTCAATGTCAATCAAAAATTCTAAAATCCAGACTGTCTTAGAAAGAGTATTTTTTTAGTACGACTAAAAAAGTATCTATATATTTGCTTAGATAAATCTATGTTACTTTAATTAAAAAGTTATTACATCCTTTTTGCAAATTCTATTAAAATATATTGAAATATTCATGTTTCTTTTTTATTATTTTTTGTTACCAAATTATTCTTCCTTGTAGTTTCTGTCATAGATTAAAGAAAGTACTTACTATTCTTGGTCTGCGGTATGCGATAGAATTGCCAGTTTGTTTCTTTTCACTATTTCAGATAAATTAGTAATTATATTGTATAAAAATTTTATGTAGAAAAATAATGCGGGTGGGACTTTTCGCGTTTTTGAACACTATTGAGCATTATATAGACTCATAATATGTACCAATGAAATTATTTATTAAATAAATAAATGTAAAATTCAGCACGTTACGCATTCTTTAGCTTATGTAATATAGGAAATCGTAGGTATATTATTAAAGAAAAATTATGGCATAGATTTATATTTGCAGCATTTGAGGGAGAAGTCAAGAATTTTATATGGCAATGATATGGACCGCAATGTGTCAAAGGGATCTGTTTATTAAAATTATACGAAAATTATACACGGGAATTATAAAAAGAATCGGGACAACAAACTGAAGATAAATGTTGAATAAATAGTGCGTGTAAAACAGAAAATTCATGTGCAATAATGTCAACCACGGCATATGAACACGACGCTGATGGTGAGACCGTTGTAATATCAACGAAACTAGTTTCTCTAGTTTGGGCTTAATTCGAATTCTATTTTACAATTTTTTTCGTTTTGTATAAGTTCTATTTAAATCATTGTAAGATTAATTCTATTATTATTGTCATTATTAACATTGAAGTAACTTGATTCGTTACGACTCGGTGAGTTCGTGTTGTAGATTCTAACGGCGCGCCGTACGAAGACGTGATTAAGTGAACAATACACATAATTAGAGTTTTTGTTAACTCTCTAATTACTAACATGAATATCCGTTAGTAGCATTATTATAGCAGTATTTTTTGTAGGTTGCAAATTTATCCCAGCTACTCAAAGACCAGATGGTACATGGAGAAAGCCTAGGCGAATAAAGGAGGGCTATGTACCCCAAGAGGAAGTGCCACTGTATGAGAGTAAAGGAAAACAGTTTAAAGCGCGACAGAATACGGGTTTACCAGTGGGTCTTACTCCTGAAATAGTAGCAGCAGCACAAAAGTCTAAGAAAAATCAAAGCGGGCTCATACAACCTATTCCGGGCATGATTATTAATGTGGACAAAAAGAAGAAGAAAAAGAAGACAGGTTTGTTTGTAAATTGTTACATATTAAATTGCTTATACTAGGCCTCTCAACAAGAATCTTGGTTAAATACTTGGGAAACTAGAGGAATAATGATTATATAAATGTTTACAATTACTTCTTTTGCTAGGTCATGTTTGTTCTGCAATAGAATTAGAATCATCATGTGCATTAATATCAAGTATGTAGTTACTCAAATTTTGTTTCATTATATTACTAGGTAAAAGAGTAATGTTGCCAATATGTTAAATTGAGAGTTATAAAATTGCTAAGCATTGTTGTATATAAATTAGACTTCCCAAGATTACATTTATATGGTTTTGTTTGCAGGTGTAGATGAAGCAGTTGATAAACTTGCCAAATGCGAGATAACAGAACCAGTGTTTAGTAGTGCATCATCATCATTACCAGCTAATAGTACACAGTCAGCTGACCCAGCTAAAAGGCTCAAGAATCTAAGAAAGAAACTTCGGGACATTGAGTGCTTGGAAGAGAAAATAAAATCTGGGACTCTTAAAAATCCCGACAAAGATCAAAAAGAAAAGATGTCAAAGAAAAATGACATTATAAAAGAAATAGAACTTTTAGAAAAACAAAATAGTGCATAAGTTAAGCCAAATTTAATAACATTATCATGAATTTCTATGATTGGTTTGTGTGTCGTCCGAAAGTATGATGAAGTTTTCTTTTATTCATTATAAATTATTTACAACAAACATCGCTTTATTTTTTCTGTGCAATATTAAATTAAAATATCATTAAATAGGTGCATAACATTTAATGATTAAAAAAATATTTATTTATATCTGAAATGAAGAATTATTGGTAACAAAACTTTAGACATATGACATGTATTAAGATATTTTCTATACAATTACTTAACATATTTTATTTGATAACTATCTATTAAATATACATTGTATTATATATATTTTACCTTGAATCATTTTATAAGTTCACAATGAAACGGCAATCTTACAAATAAACTGATGAAAGAGGTTAATTCTTTGTAAATATTGAACTTATGCTTATAATCACATTTTCAACGTTTAAATTGTGAACAAGTTTAAAAATATTATAAACAACAAAAGTTTAAATGTCTAAAACAATCAGCCCCATAGGTATGTTTGAAAAAGGACAATGGATAACCATAGTATATGTTTTAGTATACAATATTATTAGTCGCTTCTTAGTTACTCATGATATTCAGGCAACCTGCAATAAAAACATAACTGTAGGTACTTAAAATTGTAACAAAACCTTTATTTTCTACGTGATAAAATCAGTTACAGTAAATTATTACTTACTTTTTTAATTTTTATATAAACTCATTTCTGGCTTTTTGTCTGGCGTAATTTCCCAAACATGCTAGAATACCAATTACGGCAATTCCGATGCCTAAAATAGTAGCTACGAAATCACCAAAATCATAGCCTTGTGAAGCTTCTACATTGGAAATTGTGAGGAATGCAAATATTAATGTGCACAATTGGAAATACATATTTCGGGTTGCTTTCACTTCTTTATACTGGTAAATATAAAGAATTTATGAATAATAATTTGTATGTAATTGTTTACAAGTGTCAAAAATGCTATTATCATTTACCGAGATGACTGATAACTGAGTTGACTGACAGCTACAGTTCTACAGATTAGAAAAACTATGATTTATAATGAAGTAATTGAATTAAATTATTATGGTCGATTCTGAGGCGCCCCAGTTCTCTAAACATATTTCTAAAATTAAAATTTCAGTTTGATGATACAGCGAAATCTTTATTCTAAAGATTAATATCAATTAAAGTTCTAACAGATTTAAGTAAAAATATTGTGAATTAAATTTATGAAAGATTAATTTTATAAAATCATCAAATTAAAATATGGGTTAAAAGGAAAATTTAGAGAAATGGCCCTCAGAATCGGCCGTAATGATTAAAATTGTTACATGACAAAGAATCAATTCAAATACTATTTTTAATCTGTTATTTAGTTGAACTATTTTTAGACTAGGTTTAGAACTCTAGACAAGATTTTAAATATTTGATATCAGACTTGCTTTATATTTATAAATTGTGAAATATATTTAAATTATTTTTTGAATAATCGCTAGTGGCTATGCTACGTGTAAATGTTATTGTTGTTTTAAAATTCGTCCCTTAGGGTCGATTCTATTTTAATTTAAATCTATTAGTTAGAAAATTAGTTAATATTGGTCCTAACGCAAAAAATGACGCTGTGATATTAAATTAATATTTTAATTTTAAAAATAGTTTTAAAGAAATCACACTTCAGAATTGTTACTGTCAAGTGACATCCTTCAATGTCAAGATATCAAATGTAAATGTCAGTTGCTTCGCTGGCTTCATAGTTTCTACATTTTGTCGATTACCTATACGTTTATTTATCGATAAGAATAAACATTTGCACGTAAATTTTAATATCGCAGCTACAAATAGTTATTTATAGTTTCAATTTTAAATTGATATAAGCCCAGTGTGAAAAGAAAATCAGTGTAAACAAACCCATATCTAACCTCACTATTTGGATGAGCTTGTTATTGACAGTGAAACCGGAATCAAGATGAGTTATAATTCAGGCGGGAGTGGTAGTAAGGGGTTTGGGTTTGCCGGGTTTACGATGCCTAAGCGGAACCCTTCGAACGTGTCGCTACACGCCGTGCCTCCTCCGACGGCGCCTATGCATGCCGTGCCGCCCCCCACGTCTGGACTCTCCAAACAAGGGTATTCCACCATGAATTCAATAACACAGAACGCGGTGACTGGCAACTGGGGTGCGATAGGCAAGAAACGCTCAAAGACTGAGGATGAGTAAGTGTTGTATTTATTTTTATTATTTTTGGATATAACTGTAAATTAAATTCACCATATTTACAATAAAATTATTGTTCTGCTCGCAGTATCAACGACAATTTTAATATTGTTTTTATAATTCACTAGAAAAAGTAAAACAGTTATTGCAAAATTTTGTATGAAGTTAGTGTATTTAATTTCATATAAGTTTCCTTGTATTAGGTATATTTGATTATTATTAAAAAGCAAGGCACAGGCATTATGTGGACAATGGAATCTGGTTATATAAATTATGTTATACTATATTGTACAACAATATCAATTGCAGGGAATTGGTGCATATTTGTACAGCTGGTTTAGTACTGTTCTTTCTGGTAGTTTCTATGAAAGCCTGTAATTAACAATTAATAATTAGTTGCATATATTCCAACTGTGCATATTAGTCAGAGTGTTTTGATGTTTTATAGGCATATTGTACACAAACAATAATAAAAAAAATCTTGTCTATGAAGGTTTGTTTATGGTAATTGAACATTATATTGTGCCAGATATTTTGATGAAGATGATGAGCCTCCAACACCAGCTTTGGCATACATACCAGCTCCTGGGAGTCCATCATATGAGGCTGCTAGCAGTTCAAAGGTATTATTTTGAAAAATATATCAATTTTATTGGCCACTAGCATTCCACCCTAGCTTATATAGCCAGGGTAAATATAGTTTGAATTGAATATTGCATGGGTTAAGTGTCTCATAATAGACTTAAATATATATTTATTAAGGCTGATACTATATTACAAATTAAATAGATAAACATTGTATGGGACTTCTCAATCTGTTTTTTTTTAAATTGATTCATTGTCATCATATCAGCCTTTAACTGTCCACTGCTGAGAAAAGCCTTATATGTTTGCATTAAATTATAATTCTTTCTACATTAAATAAAAGCAGGAAACCCAATGTAAATTATTATATTAACATTAGGATTTTTAAATATTCTGTATAAAAAAACAAAAAAAAAACAATATTAAGGGTAAGTTTATTTACATAAACTGTGTCATTTTTCTCACTTTTAGTATTTACATACTTGTCACTTGGAACTTCTAAACTAACTTTTATTTGGAATAATTTAAAGAACTCTTGGTTAGTTCACATATTTATAAAGTGTTTGGATAGGAAATAATAAATGCATAATTATAACATAATACACAATATACTGTTAATATTATTGGTGATAATGAATTCTTCTACATCTACACATTACAATAATATTATAAAGAGGAAAGATTTGTATTTTTGTGTATATGTATGTTTGTAATGAATAAACTCAAAAACTATTTTGCCGATTTCAAAAATTCTTTCATCATTAGAAAGCTACATTCACCCTGAGTAACATAGGCTATTGCTAGAGAAGATTAGGGATCCTTAGTAAAACTTTAGTAATGTAACTTAAGGTGTAAAAATATCAATAACTATTAAAAAATCTACAATATGTCCAACTATTGTCCTTATGTCACAATGACCACTTTTTACATTTTGAAAGTTGATAGATTCATTCGCGCGGGGCTTGTTACGCAACGGATGTGACATATTTAGTTTCATCCCAATCATCTGGACGAGTGGCGGTCTTCCACCGTGCGTTTTTCAAGGCACTTTCTTCCACGCACAACCATTCTTTGGAATCAACTTCCAGCAGCAGTATTTCCGAACCGATACGACAACATAACCTTCAAGAAAAGAGTATATTCCTATCCCGGCAGCACACCTGCAATGCCGCTGGTGTTGTGGGTGATCATGGGCGGCGGTAGTCACTTACCATCAGGTGAGCCGCATGCTCGTTTGCCCCCTGTGTTGTAAAAAAAAAAAAAAAAAAATATTGAAAAATTTTTGGACAAATTTAATTGATTTTTTTTGTCGAAGTTTAAAAATGTCCACCTGTGGAAGCCGGGACGGGCCCCTAGTTACTTATAAATATGAAAGTGAGTTTATTTACTTGTTACTTTATAGCGTCTTAACGACTACCAATCTATGAATTTTGGTGTACACATACTGTATGGGATCGAAAGGATATAGGTTACTTTGGTCAGTAAATATATCAAGGTCACGCGGACAAAGTCGCTGCTAAAAGTTAGTTATGGACTATTTGCTTTATATAGGTTCATAAATATTGATTTATTAAGTAGGTAATTACATATTTAATAAGGTACTTCTGTGACTTCAATGGCTTTTTTATGTCTTCCATAAAAAATGCAGTTAAAACTTTATGACAAACTTTGTTATTGTTTAGAACAATTTATTTAAAGGCAATAAAGTTCAGGGATTTTTTTTTAAATAGTCATGTTTTTAAGTAGTAAAACAAAATAAAACTATATTATATTATAAAATAGTCACAAAACTGTCTATAAATTAATTGTTTATAAGTTTTTACAATTTAAATTTTTAAATGTAACTTCAAAATGTGATAAATTTGTTTATAGTATAGATAAGAAAGTGATTGGTTTATTTTCAGGCAGATGATGATGAAGAGGATCCTCTAGATGCGTACATGGCAGGTCTGGAGCAGCAAGCTGCTAAGGATATGGTGGCCAGCAAGGAGAATGCCGCCAGCGGCAAGGGTGACAGCAGCAGAGGCACTAGAGGGGACATTGACGATATGGACGATGAAGAAAGTTATTATAAGTTGGTTCTGCTCATGGTAGCATTGTTTCGATAAAATATTTGTTAAGAGTTCTGTCAATTTTTACATTTTTAGACAGTTTAGATACAACTATAAACTAATTATGGATTTAATTATTATTATTATTATTTGTATATAAGTTTGAATGGCAAACAAGCTGACGGCCCACCTGATGGAAAGTGGTAACCGTCGCCTATAGACATGAGCAGTACCATGGACATAACAGAGTATACTGTTTCGTCCATAATACACCCCATATGTTGCCATTCCTGAGGACTCAGGTGTTATTCCTCTGTACCCAGTAAATTCACGCCATATCCCATCCTTCAAACTGAAACACAGCCATGCAAACACAACTGCTTTACGGTTGAAACACGAATAGGACAGAGGTACCCAAGCAATCGACTTTTGTACAAAGTCTCCCTCTGGTAAAAATTTAACATGGTGTTTTCAATGCAGATATATGGAAGAAAATCCCTTAAATCAAGGTGACGATGGATCTGATGTTGAAATAGAGTATGATCAAGATGGTAATCCAATAGCGCCACCTAAAAAGAAGTATATAGATCCACTACCTCCTATTGATCACTCAGAGATAGTATATGAGCCATTTGAGAAGAACTTCTACACACCACACGAGGATATAGAGAAATTAACCCCACAACAGGTCGAGGAACTGAAGAAGAATTTGGGAGTGAAGGTATTCTTATTTGTTAAAATAGCTTTGTTTACTTTGAATAAATTATTTTGTTTGTTCGTGTACTGAGTGAAAGAACGTTTATTGTATGAATTTGTGTTGTTCATAATCTAACTTCAATTTTCCATGGTGCAAAATTGTTAAACTAGTTAATCAATGGAAGGTTTCATTCTACAGTTACTTTTAGACATATATCTTGTTTTCTTTCCACTTACATAACTTTTTTTTATGCATATATGCAGATTTTAAGAAATTTCGACTTCTCCCTTAGATAGTACAGCCTATCTAATCACAATAGTATGGTCCCACATCCTTTTGCATTCTATATCTGTATCTGTTTTGTCATAAATTTTTTTTTATATCATTGAGGTGACAAACAAGCATATAGCCCACCTGATGGTAAGTTATGTAAGGTTACCGTAGCTTGAACTTTAGCATGAATGCGTGCAATATCAGGTGCATTACGCGCGCGTTACAAACCCTAAAGAAATCTCTTTACCCCTTTTTTTTTTTTAAGAATCTCATGTCATCGAAATGGCATTCGCTTCTTCATTTTACACTGATAGTTTAAATCAGCCTTTCCTAAAGTGGGCGACAATGCCTCCTTGTCGGCACTACAGGCCTAAAGAGGGGTGATAAGAGACGCAGAAAAAAATGGGGGCGTCGTGTTGAGGCTTGGGGGATGATTTGTTGATCTCGAAGTAAAAGTGGTTTTAAAGTAGGCGAATACATAGGGGCGCTAAAAAATAATTTATTCTCAAAGTGGGTAGTAGACAAAATAAGTTTGGGAGCCTGGTTTAAATCAACCATAGCACAAATGGTATTCGGTACAATGTGGTGGTTCCCGAGCATGACGCATAGCTTGCACGGCAGATCACGGGCCCGGAGCCGCCGCGGCCGGTGAGCAGCTTCGCGCACCTGGGCTTCGACGAGCAGCTGATGCGCGCCATCCGCCGCTCGGAGTACTCGCAGCCCACGCCCGTGCAGGCGGCCGGCGTGCCCGCCGCGCTCTCCGGCAGGGACCTCATAGGTATACTGTGCCATTCACTTCAATGTAGTCCGGCGTGCATGGGCTTTTAACGATCATGTAATTTTAAACATAGTACATTTATTTAATCCATCGTGTGCTCCCAGCATAGGCTACCCCTTCTTTTCCTGTGGGTGTCATAAGAGACGACTAAGGGAGAGCTAGGGATAGGCAGCATCGTCCCTCTTAAAACATCTAAAAGCCTAACTGCGGTTGCTACCCCACCTGCCAAGCGTGGCAACTACTGGAAAAGCTCCCCTTATAGGAAAGGCTTATGTTCAGCAGTGGACAGTTAAGGGCTGAAATAATAAACAATTAAATAAATACACATAATATTAACGGAGATTTAAAAGAGTAACTGTTGAGTTTTTTGCGGGCTCTTTTCAATAAATAATAATTCTCCGAACCCTGCATTAGATTTAAAAAATAAATGACGTTTTCAAAGTATTTGTAAACAAGTCTATTTGAATGTACGCGCCTATATACAGACGTGGTGCTCTGTGTTTGTGAGGTAACATCTCCAGTATCGGTCCAGCCAGAGGAGTATTATATTCCTTGGTTGAAACTTTGTGAATATCTCGATTCTTGTAATGTTGAGTCAGAAACCCAGTAATTTTATTACCACATTGCACTTTTAAAACTCAAACACTGCATATTCTTTAGCAGCAGGAATTTTTTTTTATACAACTTAGAATGGCAAACAAGCTGACGGTCCACCTGATGGAAAGTGGTAACCGTCGCCTATAGACATGAGCAGTACCATGGACATAACAGAGTATAATGTTTCGCCCATGATACCCCCCATGCGTTGCCACGGAATAGGCGAAATGTCATGTATTATTTTTACATCATTTTTATAGGTATTGCCCGCACTGGATCAGGCAAGACGGCAGCATTCCTGTGGCCCCTACTGGTACACATTATGGACCAGAAAGAGTTGGCGCCAGGAGACGGGCCCATTGGTCTTATACTCGCGCCCACTAGGGAGTTGGCGCAGCAGGTACGCTATTTACCTTCTTCTCTTTTTTTTTATAGAATGACAAACAAGCTGACGGCCCACCTGATGGAAAGCAGAAACCGTATAAAAAAATCATTGCATTTTGCACTGTTTGAACGTGTGAGGATGAACTCCCTGTCGATGCCAAGTGGTGCGATGATAAAAGGGGGCTGTGGGTAGCATTTCAAATGATTTCTCAGTACATAATCTGTTATACAAGTATTAGAACACACAGAGGGAGGTGAAGTCGAGCCTCAGTCTTTTATAGGATGGATATACCAGAGGGAGACTTTGTACAAAAGTCGATTGCTTGGGTACCTCTGTCCCATTCGTGTTTCAACCGTGAAGCAGTTGTTTGCATGGCTGTATTTCGGTTTGAAAGGTAGTATATGGCGTGAATTTACTGGGTACAGAGGAATAACACCTGAGTCCTCAGGAATGGCAACGCATGGGGGGTATCATGGGCGAAACAGTATACTCTGTTATGTCCATGGTACTGCTCATGTCTATAGGCGACGGTTACCACTTTCCATCAGGTGGGTCGTCAGCTTGTTTGCCATTCTAAGTTGTATAACAAAAAATGCTTTAGGAATTATTTTTATTTCAGATATACATGGAAGCGAAAAAATTCGGAAAGGTTTACAACATACGATGCGTGTGTTGCTACGGCGGTGGATCCAAGTGGGAGCAGACTAAAGCGTTAGAAGGTATGAGTGTTTAGTAGGCACGATGCCTGATTTTTTTTCTTTTTATTGCAACTTAGAATTGCAAACAAGCTAACTGCCCACCTGATGGAAAGTGGTTTTATCGTCAGTTGTATTTATGGTATAAATTTTTCTTAAAATCATTGGAGATAAGCTCGCCCTTGTGCACTATTATGTTTGTTTTTACATTTCAATAACCTTTTGTGTACAATAAAGAATAATAAACTCACAGTGGGGTAAAGTAGCCTCTTTACACGAATACATTTAGTAGTATTACCCGCCGATGTATCTGAACTAGTTAACATTACGCCCTCAGCGCGGAATGCCTATTAAACTTGGCTGGGTTATTATATGAATCATCTTATGATTCGTGTAAAGTAGCTTTTTTAATCCTCTCTTTTTTTCTTTGATGGGTGAAAATGGTATGGTAATCCCCCTGCGCTAACGGGATACGCTGGCGGAGCACCAGTGAAAGGTGATAGATGAGAATGAAAACAGGCCAGTTAGCCCATCATGATGAATTCATCAGGAATTAACCATGATAGTTTCCAGGGGGAACCGCGAGGAGGTCGACCTGGTTGGGTATATTGCTAGCAATGGGATTCTCAGTCTCCATTACTAACAATCCCTTTCCCCCTATTTTAATCCTCTCTGATTCCGTACCAGCTACATTGATATGGTTGTTTCAGGCGGCGGAGCGGAAATTATAGTGGGCACCCCCGGTAGAGTAATAGATCTGATCAAATGCAAAGCGACCAACCTTCAACGAGTTACCTACTTGGTGTTGGACGAGGCGGACAGAATGTTCGACATGGGTTTTGGTAAGTTGTTGAACATTTTTTATTGTCTAATTTTTAACGTCTTACTTTATTTTATTATTTATTTAATTAATAAACTATCTTTTTCAGTCAATTTAAAAAAAGAAGGAAATTTTGAATTCGGTTGCATTTTTTTTTAATTGGTTTCTTCTCTGTCAGAAATCGATTGTAAAGGATATACTTTCAGATTAGTCTCATAAAAAATCATTGAAACTGAGTATAGTTTGGTTTTTAAGTCAAAATGCCTATTTCCCCATGATTCAAGTCTATGTTTTTTTTTTATTTTGCAACACAATTTATTATTGGGTGATGACAGAGTAATAACAAAATATGTTATTACTCCTTTTCTTTACCAAGTTATCATAGAAGGTGATTAGGGGAATAAAGTAAAATGCACTGGTACAAATGAAGACATTGAAATAAATCTTATACCAAGTGGCTTGGACAGCATGAGCGGCATCAACAAAATGTTTCATACAACATCGTCACGTGTCGGTATTAGTGGGCGCGGATGTTGTTTGACATTATATTTAGTCGTTTACTTGATAGTCGTGTATCGGTGCGCGTGCAGAGCCGCAGGTGCGCAGCATCTGCAGCCACGTGCGGCCCGACCGGCAGGCGCTGCTGTTCAGCGCCACGTTCCCGCGCCGCGTCGAGCGCCTGGCGCGCGACGCGCTGCACGACCCCGTGCGCGTGCAGCACGGCGCCGCCGGCGAGGCCAGCCACCTCGTCGCGCAGCACGTCAGGTACCACTTCCTCCGCACTCTCAATATAATCCCTTATGTATAGATTGTTCAACATATGTTTCCATTCTAACTTCAGATCACAGATCTGTTAATATGATTTGGTTATATTATACAATTTCTTTTATTTTTCAGAATATTCAACAAACCAGAAGAAAAATGGCCCTGGCTTCTACAGCACTTAGTTGAATTTCTATCGGAGGGCAGCGTTTTGATATTCGTTACAAAGAAAGTATGTATCTTGTTTTTTTTTTTTATTATGCTAATATTCTTAAGACAATTTACACCCAAGTTAGTGAATGTTTGCCATTACAGGGTACAGAGGAATAACACCTGAGTCCTCAGGAATGGCAACGCATGGGGGGTATCATAGGCGAAACAGTATAGTCTGTTATGTCCATGGTACTGCTCACGTCTATAGGCGACGGTTACCACTTTCCATCAGTGAGGCCGTCAGCTTGTTTGCCATTCTAAGTTGTATAAAAAAAAATTACCATTTTTAAAGCAAATATATTTTGAAATTATTGAATAATTATTTAAAACGTAAGTTTACTCGTAAGTCCTTCTTAAAATGAGTTTTTGCCTTCAGAATTATGTAGCTAGAGGTGTATGGTATATGTTTATCTCGCTCACTCATACGTAGTTAGAAGCAGAGCAAACGGCAGCCAACCTTGGCGTGCACCAGTACGATGCGCTACTGTTGCACGGCGACATGGACCAAGCGGACAGGAACAAGGTGATCACAGCGTTCAAGAGGCAGGAGAACAATATACTCGTTGCTACTGATGTCGCTGGTGAGAAATAATACTTATTTTTAGATTACATAGATATAGAATCGAGTGTAAAAAATAATTCAACCTTTAGTCAGCCAAACGTCAACTTGACAGACTCGTGTTTTTTTTTTAATCTAAATTAACACCTAAGAACAAGGAATTGAAGGAACGAATGATAAAATAAACACTGTAGATCATATGGTTGCCTCCTTTCTTCTTATGCAATAGGACATTACTGCAGCGGCCAGCAACTGAGGCATTGATGGACGAACGTGCAAATGTGGGCTGAGGCGTAGCTAAGGCACACATACGTGAGTCCATCAATGCCCAGTTATGGCCAAGGGTTGTATAGTACTTTTCTTAAACAATGCGCGGAAATCAAAAACATATATTTACTTTTTAAGTTCAATGACGAATAACGAACAATAATAATTTTTCACGCGCCATGACATTCCTTTTTTTTTCAATAAACAGCTTTTTATTTGCAAGCCAGTTCGAAATTTAAATAAAACTTTATTAGTTACCTCCTTGGTAGCCATGTTTTGAAGTAAAAGGTGATTCCATTTTTAAATTACAGGACAGATGAGTTTACATAGTAATTTATCTAGCAGCAAAACACGACAGAAATGGATTTTCATACAACTTTTATCTGGCCCGTACGGTAATTTTGATTTATCTCGAAGAAGATTGTCAAAATAATGCTCACATTTCCAAGATGGTTGAGAAAATATAACTACTAAAAAAAAGGACGAAACATACACCATCAATTGCTATTTTTCTCAGTTCATAACAGGCTAGTGTATAGGAAATGTGTATGTACTCGTAAAATTTTTATTCATTGAGATATGTCAATTATTACTAAATTGTATATTCGACACAATTTATATAGAAAGTATGCGAGCAGGTTGTATTTGAATTTGGTAGGGTTATACGGCCAATAAAATCCAAGCCATATCTTGATGAATTTGTCTTCTACGAACTAGTCAAAAGGCAGATGCGTTTTTATATGTCTATCCCTCTCTAACGCATTGGCAATGTTATAAATACAACGAGCAACACACTAAGTGAATTATGCATTCCATCTATTCTATTCTATTCTGAAATCTTTGACGAACACTTATTTCAAAGTTGCAAGTTATTAGACTAAAAATTTTCTAGATTTTTTAATTACAATTAAAAACTATTTTTCTGATATAAATATACAAGTGTACGTATTGCTTGCAAATTAATATACATCGCAAATGTGAAAACGATTCATGGCTTAACAAAGATATAAATTTGATTATGTATTGACTGTAATTCAGCTGTACGTTTTCCAATAAATAAATAAATGTATTTAAAAATAAAAATATATTTTACGTTTTTATATAAATATAAATCAAAGTAATCAGTATATCCTGTTTAGCGCCATCACAAGTGAGAGAGCAAACAAGAGAACGAAAATACGTAAATAGGTATTAACTAAACGAAGTCGCTGGTAGTGACAAGGAGAGCGAGTAGACGTACATGCAGTAGGAGTATGTATTTTACCAGAGGGAGACTTTGTATAAAAGTCGATTGCTTGGGTACTTCTGTCCCATTCGTGTTTCTATCGTGAAGCAGCTGTGTTTGTATGACTGTGTTTGGGTTTGAAGGGTGGGATATAGCGTGAATTTACTGGGTGTAGAGGAATAACACCTGAGTCCTCAGGAATGACAACGCATGGGGGGTATCATGGGCGAAACAGTATACTCTGTTATGTCCATGGTACTGCTCATGTGTATAGGCGACGGTTACCACTTTCCATCAGGTGGGCCGTCAGCTTGTTTGCCATTCTAAGTTGTATAAGAAAAAAAACGTGTTGTCGGCAGCGCGCGGGCTGGACATCCCGCACATCCGCACGGTGGTGAACTACACGGTGGCGCGGGACATCGACACGCACACGCACCGCGTGGGCCGCACGGGCCGCGCCGGCGTCCGCGGCCGCGCCTACTCGCTGCTGGCGCGCGACCGCGACCGCGACTTCGCCGGCCACCTGCTGCGCAACCTGGAGGCCGTGCACCAGGTACGTGCGGACACGCACACGCACCCGCCGCGCCACCTGCACTCTGCCCGTGCCAACGGCACGTGCACGGAAAGAGATTGTTGGCTGCATTGCCATTTGACAGCTCATTGCTACCAATATGCCCTATTTTTTTCAATGTGTGGAAACCATGAATAATTCTTGGTTGAATTAGTCGCGATGGGACCCGCGTCCTCACCTATGATATCTCACTGGCGGGGCGCCAGTGTATATTGATAGCGGTGACGATGACCATTCCATTATCACCCATTAAAAAAAAAAAATGTTAGCAGGGCCATGAAGAATGAACAGGATGAAAAAACTTGTTGACTCATCATGATGAAATCACGATGGTAAAAACCATCACGCTTAATTCGTAGATGTGTGTGTGTGTATGTGTGTGTATGTGTATGTGTGTGTATATATGTATGTATATGTGTATGTATATATATATATATGTATATGTATATATGTATATGTATATATATATATATATGAGGAATGATGTCGTCGGATGAAAAAACCAGAATATCGCTGTAGCAATTAACTGCAGCACATGCAGTGGTGACCACGATGAAATAAATATAAAGCTTTTTTTTTTTAATTCATAATTTATGTAACTTTTTGTTGTTGTTAATTCGTAGATGAATTAAGCGTGATGGTTTCCAGAGGGTAATGCGTAAGCGTCAACTTGACAGGATATATTGCTAACAATGACACCAGTATGCTCCATTAACAACGATCTCTTATCTCCCAATAATAGGGTTTTTTTTTGATGGTTTGCGGTACAGTATTTAAGGCATCCCGTCCTCGCTATTGGATACGGACGACGGAATGCCTATACAAAAGGGTACGTGGTGGGCGCAATTTAGACGCAATATTTGAGGAGCATTAGGAAGGTACTACGGCCGGTTATTACAACAAATGAGTATGTGGTCGGCCTCCGAATTTACTATTTCACAGTGATGGCAAGGTTTACGCTGGAGTAGTAATCCCTTACTGTTTCATTGTTTTGTAGTTGTTTGGAGGAAATAAGTAACAACCAACTTGATTATATTATTGATTTTCATATAATGAGAGAATGACAGAAATGTGTGAAGTAAACATCGCTGTCATGTCTGTACGTCCAGTGCGAAAGATAGAAAGAGGTGAAATATCTATGTACAATTAAATTAACCTACTTGATGGAAAAGAAAGTAATGATGTTGACAAGTGGCTATGAGATGAATATTTACAATATTTATTTACAGACGCCACAGTCTATACCATTGTTCTACGCAGGCTCCCCTCGCCCACTTAGATCCGTTTGTATTTGTCACATTATTGATTTCCGATAAACAGGAGGTGCCTGAAGATCTGATGCAGCTAGCGATGCAGTCGGCGTGGTTCCGCAAGTCGCGCTTCAAAAAGGGCAAAGCCAAGAACCTGAACGTGGGGGGCTGTGGACTTGGGTATGTTTTATAATACAATAATAATATTTTATTATTAAATACTACTAATTCGCTCCGGTCCCGCCCTAGTGGCGCCTTTTTTAAAACATCACCAAAGCCTAACTGTGGTTGCCAACCTGCTTTACACAGCTAGATAACCAGAAAGATAAATTAGTGTTTAATATTAACTGTAATGAGCAAATTTTTGATACTTTGGATTAAAATATTGTAATTTTCGTTACAATTTTTTTTTTATAATATATAGACTATATATGATAATGTAGCTAGTGTAAAAAAAAAAAATTAAATCGATTGAGTAGTTTTTGAATTTATCAATTATAAACACACATAGAAAAATCGAATCTTTCCCCTTTAAAACATTAAATATAGATCAGGAAGAGCACACAGCCTGATGGTCTACCTGATGAAAAGTACCAGAGAGAAATTTTGTTTTTTTTTGTGTTTAAAAACGGAATGGTAACCCCACATGTAGTATCCGTATATGCTGGTGGACTTGAGGAATGTAGTCGGAAAACCAGCTCGGGTAGCGGCTTGTTCATTATATCTTTAACACAACTTGGAATGGCGAATTAGTGAGCTGTTCATTTAAGTGGTGAACACTCGATTGTTGTGTACAGTTACAAGGAGCGGCCGGGGCTGCCGGCGCACAACGACGAGCCGAGCCCGATGGTCAACATAGAGAAGGCGCACGGGCCCGCCACCGACCGCCTCGCGTCGCTCAAACAGGCCTTCAGGTCGCAGTACAGTCAGGTGTGTTGCTAACATCATTTTGTTTACAATATTCACAGTTATAAACTCTCAAATGATGTCATTCCAACTTATGTAAGATATTTTTAATTTATTGCTAATATTAACGATTTGAGATTAATAGTGCGCTTGACTTTGCCAAATTTATCAATTTCTTTTATTTATTCCCTCCTATTTGAATTGAGGAAACTCAATTCTTTTCTCCATACCATAGGTGGCGGATACTACCAACAAGTGTATTTCTAAGAAAGGTTAACATCAGGTGGTTGGAAAACTAACAGCCCAAATCTCTGTGTGATATGAATTTTTTTTTTTATTTTTTTTTATACAACTTAGAATGGCAAACAAGCTGACGGCCCACCTGATGGAACTGAGCAGTACCATGGACATAACAGAGTATACTGTTTCGCCCATGATACCCCCCCATGCGTTGCCATTCCTGAGGACTCAGATGTTATTCCTCTGTACCCAGTAAATTCACGCCATATCCCCACCCTTCAAACCGAAACACAGCCATGCAAACACAACTGCTTCACGGTTGAAACACGAATGGGACAGATACCCAAGCAATCGACTTTTGTACAAAGTCTTCCTCTGGTGAAAAAAAATTAATAAAACCATTTTACGTTGATTCCAAATAATTGGGATAATAAAATAAAATAAATAATAAGAAATAAAACCTCAGAATTGTCTGGTGCCCATCCCAGGACGAAGCTTTCAGTTATGTGCAATAGACACATCCAAGAATACATATGTGCACCATTTCAAGAGCCAGGCTGTTTAATATTTTGTTCCCCAAAAAGTCTCTATTTATTGTACTTTTCTTACCAGTCGTCTCGTTTTTTCCCAGTTCACAGCATCTACAGACCACTCGTGGGAACAAACGGTGACCACCATCCAGCCCGGTGTCAACGCCCCCGCCTCACAGCCACAGGAGAAGGACAAAACTGAGCGCGTGCGCAAGGGCGGCAAACGGAGCCGTTGGGAGTAGGCTAGCGAAATTGCACCTGAACGTGATAACGATATGGTCGAATGTCGTTTGACAGCTGTATATGTTTAAATAATTAGGTGGCTCTATAGTGCTATGGATTGTCCAACGTTAAAGGCTGATTATGTGGTGTTTTATGCAGGCCTAACCAATGGCACACAGTTATACTTCCTTCAAATGAATTACGACTTTAAAGCTAAGGGGCGATGGTTTATATTTCATTGTACGTCAAGAGGTGGCGCTAGGGATATTTTTTTTCCTAACAAATTATGTCTACAATTGGCCAGAAATCACAGTTGCCACTTTGGCTATGAATTTAGATAAACTGTGCCAAAAAGTGGCTGGTTTGTATGATTCGAACAAAAATGTAATTATATTTTTTATTGCATTTGAAATTTACAAGAAAATATTAAAGGGTCAGATGCTTATAAATTTGTTTTTAAACATTTTTTATGTCCTGCAATTACGAAAAACTATTTTTTTCAAAAGACTCAGGAATTTTGAATTCAATCGTATTTTCTACGTGTGTATGTATGTGTGTGTGTGTATTGTGTGATATTTTCGTTAATTTTGAACCAACTTTAATTATCCCTTAATTAAAAGTGTGTATCCCTTATTAGTCCTATACTAATTTGTTTTTTGTAAAACAAAGATTTAAAATTACTGAAATATTGGATATACTTGTATGGATGGATGACGTTACTAGTGTCTGTTTCCTAACGCCATCTCTTCTGATTTGTGATACTCTTAACATGATATCTTTAGAGATATTATGTTTGGATAGGGAATGAAAACTAAAAGTAAATATTTACCATTCTTCACCTTTATTCAATCAGACTTTAAAATCCATATGATTTTTTGTTAATTAACTTTTTTTTATTTTATTTTGTTGTTAAAAGTTTCGTAAGCACACATTATATTTTAAATGTAAAAATAGTCGTATCGATTTATGTGTATTTTGTCGTGAATTCCTAAATATATGTTTTGGTAATGTTTTGTTTTATGTCCCTAACAAAGTATAATCTAGAACTAACGAAACCCCGTCGGCATCTGTTAAGAAAGCTGTCGGCAAAAAAAATTTTAAACGGATGATGCAAATTTAATTCAAAGTTCATTTAGATATTCAAAATCCTTGTGTTAATGGGGACCGTCGTTTAACGGTCAGACCCTGAAGAGCTTAATTTGGGAACCACTAAGAAAGCGAACTGTCTTTTGTCGATCAAAAACACGAAGATCTTGTTTTAGACCCTGAGTCATCACTATTGGTTTACGAATTTGATGATTCCGGGGAACCACGAACAAAAAAATCAAGAAAAAAATCCATTAATCAGGATCATCAAGGATTCCCTCCAGGCCAGAGTTGAGAAAATTTTATGGAGCTCGTGTACGAGTTCGTCCAGAATTGGCGCAGTTCTAATATATTTGTCCGTGAGTTTTTGAGTCCTTAAAATATTCGCCGGATTTGATTTTAAACCAAAACTTAGAATGGGGGCATAAATGAGATAAAAAAAGCTACGACGGGAAGGCCCACCTGATGGCACAAGTGCATTATGTCACAGGGGGAGTACTTTGAAGGGGATAAAATTGATTTACCTGAATAATTGTAAAATAAAATTTTTAAAAAACTTTTATACGTACTTTCCGGACAAACCTCGTAAGTATAATCTAGAACTTCTGTTAAGAAAGCTGTAAAAAAAAATTTTAAACGGATATGCAAATTTAACAGAACTGTCTCGTAAAACACGTAGATCTTGTTTTAGCCCTGGCTATTGGTTTAGGGATGATTTATAAAAAAAATCCATTAATCAGGATCCGGATTTAGGAAGAAAATTTTATGGAGCGTGTACTCAGACCCAGTTCTAATATATTTTGCGTGGTCCTTAAAATATTTTATTTTATACAACTTAGATACCCTGATGGTAAGTGGTTGCTATTCCATGAGACATAACAGGTGTTATTCCTTTGTATATTGTTTTTTTTTTTAATTTCAAAATAGAATATAAATAAATGCAGCACCTTACAGTCTGAATATGTTTGTAGTGAGAGCATTATTATGTGTTACGTCAATAAACTACATAATATGAAAATCAGTATTATATACCTACTCTAGGGGTTCTCATATGTTTCATGGTGCACATACAAGTCGTTTGAAATTAAACACCTTGTTTAATTTATAGTAAATATAAATTAAAAATAAAGATTTTATTAATTAAAAGTTTATAAGAAGATTCGTGCGATACATTTGAACTCGAGCAAAAGAAGAAAAAAGTGCAAAGGTGTTGCCCTTTTCATAATTAAAAATTACCATAATAATTTGTTAATTATTGCCAGCATGTAATAATTTTATGTTTATGTATTAAACACAGATTTAAGCCGAAGCTAAAAGAAGAAAAAAAAACTAGATTTTATATTTATCATCGTGCCCTAGTTGAAATGTGCAATATGTACAATAAAGATATATATACTTTTTTTTTTTACTGGCAACCTATTGCGTTGTGATGTACACCTTTAAAAACCCTAATATATTCGTTTAATATTAAATTTTGGATAGATAGATAGATACTCTTTATTGTTTCCTCCAAAAGATTGCAATAGTAAACTTATTATAAATATAAACAATTACAAGAAATAATCACAATGAGAAAACAATGGGCGACCTTATCGCTAAGAGCGATCTCTGGATTTTTGTTTTTTCAAATAAATAATTTGTGTATTGTGTAAAAAGTGTATTTTGTTGTGTGAATATAATAAATTATAACATGCGATCAGTTTTTTGATAATAAATGTAACTACCTATATTTGAACTTGTGACTTCTAGTATGCATATGTAACAAATTATAGTATATGAAAATGAATTTATATAAAAGTATGTTTTTTTTCCTCTTCATATGACACGGCACAAAGTGCATCCGCTAAAAACAAATTTCGGGAAAGGGCATTTTAGTAAAGGGAGTTTTAACCAATGAAATACATGATAAGGATCAGAAAAGTTGAATAATAGATAATGTAAGGTAAATAACACATGCCTAAATAGAAACAAGTATGCTATTCAATGTAATATCATAAAGAGGAAAGGTTTTGATTTTTGTTTATAATGGTTTAACTTAAAAATACTTAACCGATTTTAAAAATTGTTAGAGATTAACATTGAATGTGTTTTATTTTATGGGTATTTACCCGCGTGACGCCGGGGTTGATTGTTAGTGAATACACTGTAGCGAATTAATTAAACCTAAGAGATGACAGTAGGCGGCCATCTTGGATTTATACATGCTAAGGAAAACAGCGCCACATACATCAACAGTCGACAAATGACTGACCGCTAATTCAGGAATTATAATCGTGAGCATATTATTTTTATATTTTAAAAAAATGACCAAACTGATAAAAATTGCAAGTTATAAATATTTATAGTTTTTACTTAAAATTTTTACAATATATGTCATATATATTTATGTATTTGTATAATATATGCGTGACACGAAAAAGCATATAGCAATCGTTTGAATTATTAACAATTAGTCACATAGATTGTAAATAAAACTTGATCGTATTATATATTTTATTTAGCACAGATCTACTTGATATGCAGAACGCGCTAATGTAATAAATAACTCTTTAATAAACTGTACTCTGTGTAAATAGAAATAAAGGTTATTTGAAGTGTAATAAAAAAATTTTTCATTTCAGCAAGTGTGTACAATTTTTTTACTAAACAAGATGTTATCTTGCTGAAGTTATTGTTGCTGGTTATTTGATTAGACATATTTTGTCACTGCCATTAGTATATGTTATGTGTGATTACCTGCACACGAAGACAACTTTTAGTAGCAGTATTTGGGGGTAAAGGGATTGTTAGTAATGGAGGCTGAGAATCCCATTGCTAGTAATATACCCAACCAGGTCGTCCTCCTCGCAGTTCCACCTGGAAACTATCATGGTTAATTCCTGATGAATTTATCATGATGGGCTAACTGGCCTGTTTTCATTCTCATTTATCACCCTTCACTGGTGCTCCGCCAGCGTATCCCGTTAGCGCAGGCGGGGTTACGGTTACCATACCGTTTTCACCCATAAAAAAAAAGTAGCAGTATTTTCGAAGAGATACGACGTGAAGATAATAGAATACTGTTTAAAGGGCCGACAACACCTGCTATTATTAGGATTGCACATTTCCAAAGGAAAAAACGAAACTCTTATAGGATCATTTCGTTATCCGTGCATCCGTCCGTCCGTCTGTCAAGACGCGTTATCTTAGGAACGCGTGGAGGTATCAAGTTGATATTTATATCAAATATTCAGGTCTGCAATCTTTTAAAGCAGTGGAAAAATTGTTTCTAAATCGACGCAATCAAAAGATATGACCGTTTATGTTCCAATCATATTATTATTTATGTAGGTTTATATTCATATGTATGTATTAATATTGTATCTTTCAAATATATATATATATATATATATATATATATATATATATATATATATATATATATATAATATTCTTATGAACATTAACTCTAATTGTCATAATATATATTTTTTTAATATTTTTTTTAATTTAATTCACTCTTAATCGTATTTTCTGATATTGCTCACAACTTAGGTTACATGTTTATTTTTATTATTTACTTCATTTTCTCGCACTGTATAACTATGTTAAAGTGAATGCTGTGAATACTTATAATAGGCATGTGCATTAATATTGTATTGTATTTAATGTTTGTTATACCTATATATTATAATGCAATATGCTGTTGGTGTAATAAATATATATATATAAATAAATAAATAAATAAATAATAACATATATATATATATATATATATATATATATATATATATATATATATATATATATATATATATATAATTTATGTAAATATTTATTTTAATTTCTGTTTATATATTTTAATTACTGTCCACTCACTACTTCCTATGCCTGCCTGCGTTAGGTTGATTGGAAGAGATCTCTTTTAGAGATAAGTTCACCTTTGCTAACATTGTTATCAACTTATTGTTGTTACTGTATGTTTTAGTGCAATAAAGAATATATATATATTTTGACATTCACACAGGGAATCAAAACCTATAGGGTATTTCCCGTTGACCAAGAATCATATAATTTGACAAGAAGGCGGAGGTTTTCGAATTGATACCTGCTGCTAACTTTCATCACCGTACAACCCGCCATAAACTAAAGTTTCATCATAGGCGGCGGTAGTCACTTACCGACAGGTGAGCCGCATGCTCTTTTGCCCCCTGTGTTGTAAAAAAAAAAGTTCTCTGAATGGGCAACTCCAACTTCGATCGAGAGGTTCACCGACGAATCCAAATTGGTTGGGCAGCATTTGGGAAACTATGCCACATCTCATTAAAAATACTTCAAAGTTTGAAGGCCTTTAACCAGTGCGTGTTGCCAGGGATGACCTATGGAACCGAAACATGGCCCTGCACGATTGCCCGTATGAGAAAGCTACAGATTACTCTTTACTTATGGAGAGAGGGCTATGTTCGGAGTTTCTTTGCCTGATAGAATCCGAAACGAGAATATCCGCAAAAGTACCAAAGTAATCGACATAGTCCCAAGGATAAGCAAGTTGAAATGGCACCCCGAGCTGGTCGCATAGCTGGATGAATCTGGCGACCCCGTATGGGCAAACGTAGTATAACGACCCCCCTACTGGATAGAGTGACGATCTGAAATGCATTGCAGGGAGTTAGTAGATGCAGGTGGCTCAGGACCGTTTCTTATGGCAGTCTATGTGGGTGGCCTTAGTTTATCATTCCATTATTCATAGACTAAAAACAGTTAGTTATTTAGAAAGAAAGAAAGAAAGAAAGAAAACATTCATTGACAACAACAAAAAGTTACATACATTATGAATTAAAAAAAAAAACTTTACATTTATTATTGCCAACATGGTCACCACCCAGCATTTAGTAAATATAATCAATGAAATAAAATATCAATTATATAGATTAAATTAAATTTCCCTTTATGATTGTAGGTACCTAATCAGGAGATTAGTTCTAGTTTATTTCGATATAATCTCGAAATAGTGACATAGATCCTGTCTCTATTAAAAAAAATTCAAAATTAGAAGTCATTTTCTCGAATTAAAAAAAATTGATGCATAGGAATCGGCCTGTACTCTTAATAACTACGATGGAAGTTGAACAGAGTCGCGTGCCGGCAGGTGTTACTCTGTATTGCTGTAGTTTTAATTCGCCGCGCTAACTGCGGAATGGCACGAAATAGTTTGTGTGCTCACGACCAATGTGTAATTACTGTACTATATTGTAGGGTATTAGGTAAAGGGGTAAGTTTCTGGCAAGTTATTAATTTGGGCTATTTTATTTTATACTCTGTGTACGCGACTCGACGCGTGTCTTGGATAAAAAGTTGTCTATGTCTTTCACAAAGTAATACTTCTATGAGGAATTGTTCCGATTGATCTCATCAGAGGGAGACTTTGTACAAAAGTCGTTTGCTTGGGTACCTCTGTTCTATTCGTGTTTCTACCGTGAAGCAGTTGTGTTTGCATGGCTGTGTTTCGGTTTGAAGGGTGGGATATGGCGTGAATTTACAGGGCACAGAGGAAAATCCGTCTCATGAAGGAGACTATGATCAGCAGTGGGCAGTTAATTATAATTGATGCATTTAGGACTTTGTAGGTTGCCGAGGATCGTGCTGAAAATCAACGCTGTAGTGTCCCTGACACTACAGCAAAATGCTGAGCACGCACCTCATTTTGCAGGTATTGCGACGCACGCACACACACACTCATTTTGGATGAAACTGTTATAATACGAATTGTTTTTTTTTTATTTTATTTTTATTATATATTCTTTATTTATATATTAATATTTTGTGTATAGTTTCGTTATTATAATTCTTAATATATTTTTTTTGAATGTTCGTTCTTTCTTTCAATAAACTATGATTATTACGAACAGTATCTAGCTAGGTAAAAACAACACAAGGCTGACTTATAATAAACAGTCATTTCTGAAAGTTCCGCCCCAGGGGGCCGAGTTTCCGAATGATAAGGCGGTGTTGGGCGATAACAATCACGGTTCAAACCGCTTGACAAGTTTGCCCGCCATTTAATCATCGGATCAGTTTTATAGCGGGCGAGGATTATGCAATGAGAATGGAATAAAATTAGGACTCGTGAAAAATACTAGTAAGATAAAAAAAAAAAAAATTAAATTAATATGGGGTCAATAGGGAACTAAACCCAGTCGATTGTATAAGGTTTAAATAAACTCTGCTGGATACGGATCTCTTTATAAATTATTACTGTCCAAATATTTAGTTAATTGACAAATTATTTGAAATCAATGCACCGCCATTTACTCTCTCTTTGTTGAGCGTAACGGTTGACTGGTAGAGAATGCCAAGGCATTAAGTCTATCCTGTAGACATATTTTAATGTGTACAAAAGTATAAATAAATAAATATTAACACACAGTATAAAGAACTACTCCTTATACTGTGTTTTTTTTTATGGATGAAAACGGAATTGTAACCCCGCCTGTGCTAGCGGTATATGCTGGTGGGGCACCAGGATATTATCTCTCACCAAAGTGAGGATTAAAGCAGGTTAGCTCACCGTGATGAGTATCATATTCATATTCAGAATATGTGAAAAATTAACCACGTTTTGTTCCAGGTGGACCGCGTAGAGGTCGACCTGACAGAGGATATAGCAATGAGGCCGCTAGTCTTCATTATTAACAATTCCCACCTACACTGTGCCATTGCTTTCTAGACCATTTTTGTTTTATACGAAGGTCTTGCAGCAGAAACAGGAGTGAGACAGATGTACCCAGATGATTTCTTTACAATCTCCCTATGTCTTCATATAGTTTAACACTTAAAAGTCTGATTTTTAAATCAAATTAAAAAATGTATATGTACCCTTTACTGTGTTTACTAATGGGGAAAAATAGTATAAAATCAAAACGATATTTTTATATATTTATTTTGAAAAAAACATTTGGTAACATGTAAACAGCCAAATATTAAAATAAAAACGATTGTAGGTGCCCAATGTGATTTATAACCCTGGTATCAAATTTCGACTGTATCAATCGTGTGAGCAAAGTCGGGGTTGTAACTAGTATTTGTGTAAATAAGTCACGACATACATATATGTATTTATTTACATGTAGGTGCGCGGATGTGCCTAATAGCTTTTTAATTCAACGGCACAAATGTAAACTAAATTTGGAACGAAATTACGAGATAAAGTGTTTTGGAGGGGCCGATAACGAAACTATTTCCTACACGCTGCTCTACACTGCCGTGCAAACTTATTGGTGCCACAAATTGTATTAAAAAAGTTATTAATAAAAATGTAATTAATAAAAAAAATATAATCACTAATAATTAATAAAAAAATAATTTATAAATATTAATTTATAATGTGTAATACAAAGTTTTTTCCTCACGACTGTAGTTTTTGGTTCTTTTAATGGGTGAAGAGGGAATGGTAATCCTTACTGCGCTATGGGTATATGCCGGCGGTACCAGTAAAGGGTGACAGGTGAGGATGAAGGCAGGTCAGTTAGCCCATAGTGACCAATTGAATAAGAATTAACCACTATGGTCTCCAGGGGAAATTCCGTGGAGGTCGATCTGATAGGGTGTATTGCTAGCAATGGGGCTGTTAAATCTCATTACTAACAATCCCTTTCCCTTCTCTTTGTTGGGGTAGTTAGAAGTATTTGATGTTTATTTTTTACTTACTAATGATAATAATAATTAGTGAATGGATTAGAAAACATTTATTGGCCGAATATGATTTAACATGAAAACTACATTATCGTACATAGATTAAATATAGTACCTTCCGTTCTCTATCTACGATAATAGGCACAGAAAAAATAAACTATTGTTATTTTTTAAGTAATATAAGAAAGTATTAATGCAACAACTATACGATAATTTCTAATTCTGATCTGATATTGATAATTCTGTTCGCAGTCCTAACATTACTCTCAATTTTGTTACAATTGAGGGCGCAGTAATTTTTCTGGAATTAATTTCTTAGAGATAATTAGGTTTAATCTCGATTTCTTTTATAGCTTTCTCTATACTTCAACTGTTTTTCGATTTTTTTTTAATATGGTTTGTGTGTAATATTTAGGTAGTTTGATACATTATATAAGTATTCAGTAATTACTAAAAATAGTACGTCGAAAATAGATAATGACAGGTCAGAAATATAGTTTTACATTATTTCATATTTAGGTTCACGCTTACCATGGAATCATCAAATAAACAATAATGGTAGTGGCCAGACAATAGCTCCATGAACGATATGCTTCCGTCGACTGAGTTGAAAACCCAAACACTTGTTTCCCGCGCTTTGTGAGCGGCTGTATGGTTGAATACCGGTGCACAAAATTAAAAAAACAAGTGTAGTGCCGTGCCCGCCAAAAATATACTAATATGGCGACTTTATTTAATTAATAACTTCAAGATTTTTATTGTTTTGTGTTATGTAATAAGTATTAGGTAAGTTTGTTGTGTTAAAATAGTAATTAAAAAATTTAATACAATTTCTTCGAGTTATGAATATAATTTGAATCATGTTAAAAAAACTGTAGTTAAGAGATAGGTACGTATTGATCTTAATGAAATAGATGTAGAAGCAACACGGAATGAAACTTTTCCGATTAAAAATAATCATAATCCGTCCATAATTGGCTAAGTTATCGAGTACCATACAGAAAAAAAAAGGAAAATAAAAAATACAATTTAATTGAAAATCATACTTTCTTCTTTTCGTTCGACTTCAAAAAGAACGAGGTTCTCAAATGGGTGGGTGGTTTTTTTTATATTTGTTTACTTCTAACTCTGTCATCACTTGAAACCACCAATTCGGAAAATTCTTTTTTTATTTGAAGGAATATACCTACTTACAGTTTGGTCCCATAGCAATTTTAAGAAAAACGGTTTAGTAGTTTAGTTTTTAAATAAAAATAATAGTTTTTCTTACATCTGTAATCGTTTTTTTTTGTGAGACACAGTCTTTTTGTCTATTATACCTTATAGCAATTTAACGGCTTAACCAATCATTAAGAAATTTAAAACAAAATTACACGAACTATATTGGATGGAGAACGATTTAGTCTATCATACCGGTACCATATACTAATATACCGGTCACGTGGACAAAGTCGCGGCATTAAGTTAGTACTAAATACATTTAAAATTATAATGTAATTAAATGTAACATTTAGCATTGCAATTAAAAAAAAACAAATGTAGTGCCGTGCCCGCCAAAAATATACTAATATGGCGACTTTATTTAATTATTAATTTCAAGATTTTTATTGTTTTGTGTCATGTAATAAGTATTAGGTATGTTTGCCTTAAGTCCTAACTTACTAGTATTTTTATCTTTGTATTATTATTACTTAGACATCTCTTTCGACAGTTTTACCATAGAACATGAGTCTAACTGGAAGAGATTGCTTAGCAGTAACATCGAAAAGCAATCAAATCGCAAATTAACTTCCAGAGAGAGATTTTGCATAAAACTTGTCTGCGTGGGTACCTCTGTCCCATTTATGTTTCTGGCGTGAAGCAGCCTTTAGCTCTGTTTCGTCAGAGTAATATTACAGGGCTCAAAGGTACCATGGACATTACAGTGTACTCTGCGATATATGTGGTAACGGTTCACGTCTATAGGTGACGGTTACCACTATCCATCAGGTGGGCCGTGGACTTGTTTGTTTTTCAAGTTTCATAAAATATTACTATAATTCAGTTGTGTGTGTGAATGCTACTAGCATTAAATCTTTTGCAATACATTTTCTTTTGGTCAATAAATTTATTTAAATAAATAAGGATTATTTATTTTAATTACTTTATTGACCAACAGAAAATATGGTACAATAGGCGGACTTAATGCTAGTAACATTCTCTACTAGTCAACCTTTGGCATGAACTGTGAATCACGAACGCGGTATTACATTATTGGGATAGGTAAAAAAAATAACGGCTAATAATAGTTTATGTCTAAAATAATATAATTTTTATAATTAGTGAAATAAAGTGTAAGTAAATAAATACCTCCCAGGCATGAGAGGCAAGTGAACATTACTGGATTTCGGCGGCGTATTATCTTGTACACTAATTGATTGGATAAGAGCTCGTGAGACGCTCCCGCGGGATATCTATGGCACGAGATAATGTTTGAGCCACTTACAGTGCTCTGTTCCCTGTTAACAATTTCGCTTTCAAAAGGAGGAGATTTTTATCTGTATTATTATTATGGAGCTTTATATTTATTTCCGATTTTGAATTTCTTTTTTCAATCGATATCTGGCTTGGCTCTTTTTTATTTTATGACGATTGTAGCCATTTTGATTTTGCGGGGTGAGAGAATAATGTACACTTTCTTTTTCATTCTTAATTATTGTATTCTTGACTAGCGGCCCGTCCCGGCGTTGCATGGGTGGACATTTTTACACTTTAAAAAATAGCCATTAAGGCTGCACACGCGACGGAAGCTTAAAAATGGAGTAACTTCTCCCGTTTTTCCGACATTTCCCTTCACTGCTCTGCTCCTATTGATCATAGCGTGATGAAAATGCCCAGGAGTATGAAGAATAATTGTAACAAGTTTCGTTAAAATCCGTCGAGTAGTTTTTGTTTCTATAACGAACATACAGACAGACAGACAAAAATTTTACTGATTGTATTTTTGGCATCAGTATCGATCACTAATCACCCGCTGATAGTTATTTTAGAAATATATTTCATGTACAGAATTGATCTCTCTACAGATTTATTATAAGTATAGAAGATAGATAAAGTTTAATTATTTTTCGACTATCATCAATGTAATATAGCTACGAAATATTTAGTGAATACGACTAGTTTGTTAATGTAAATTAATTTCTGAAAAAAAAAAATGTTTTCCACAAAGTAAAAAGTCTTTAATTTTTTAAACATTAGATAAATGGATAAATGTGGCATGACTAGTTATTTTTATTTCTAAACTAAACTACTAAATTGATTTTGATAAAATTTCTATGACACCAATCTGTAAGTATATCCTTTCAGATAAAAAAATAATTTTTGAAATTGTTTTAGAGATAATGGAGTTATGAGGTAACAAAAAAAAATACAATCAAATTGAGGTACTTTATCTTTCTGAAGTCGACTGATTAAGTGTAAATTAAGATCACTTTGTCATTGTATTTGTTCACTTGTCGTGCTATAAAAAAAGTTAGATGTTTTTGAAAAAAAAAAACTAAAAAAATGTTGAAATAATGGCACCGCCAGCAAGAGATTGAATGTGACATAAAGTTTTTAGTTATTGATAGTATCGGAACTCAAAACCTCGAGATCTCTAAGTAATTATATAAATTGAAATCGTACATACATAATTGTAATAAAATGTAACTTATGTTTTGTTGTATTTGCCATATTTGACATGTGGCTACCTTCCTTTGTGGGTATCGTGAGAGGCGACTGAAGGAACTTAATAGAGAGATAGGCGGCAGCGACCAAATTCTAACTGCGGTTGCCAGCTCGCCTGCTAATCGTGGTAACTCCCAAAACTCTCCCTTATAGGAGAGACCTATATTCACCAGTGGACAGTTAGCGGTTAATAGAATCATAACAATTATGTTGTGTTACAAATTTAGTTAAATCCGTCATCAGGCAGCATTCAAATAGTTGTTTTATTACAATTACTTGTTGTTTTTTTGTGGGAAAATTAGGTGCGTCACACACCACTGCGCGTCGACCTTCCGCCTCTCCGAATGACAATAGGATTTACAAATGACATGTCATTGGGCAACAATCATTGTAATACAAGTTATTACTGAATCGACTTATGATATATGCCGTGTTGGATGAGCCAATGTGCGATTGCTTAGCCGTTACAGATTTATTATTTATTTAATTTATTTATTTACCACTTTATTGTACCAACATTAAAGGATTTGTTGAACAATTTTTAATAAGTATAGTGTAGTACAAAAGGCGGTCTTATTGCTAAGCAATCTCTTCCAGACAACCTTTAGGTAGAAGGATTTAAAGAATAAATAGGTAGGTGGCGCGTTAAAAGAATAGATCTGTAAAAATAATATAAAATAATAAATATCTGTAACAGCATAATCATATACACATACATAAATAAACACATATATCCAAATATATACATATATACACATACACATACGTACATATATAAATATATATACATACATAGATTTAATGACTTTATGACACTTATTTCAATAGTTTTATTTATTAAATTATTTATGGACAGCCAACAAAATATACAGCCGTGTAGGTGCCGGTGTAGAATATACCACCCCTTCCTTTCCTGTGGGTAACATAAGAGCCAACTAAGGGATTTTTTTTTGCTGAGTGAAAATGGTATGGTAACCCCGCCTGTGCTAACGGGATACGCTGGCGGTGCACCAGTGAAGGGTGATAGATGAGAATAAGTTGTTACCTATTGAGAAGAGCCCGCAAGAAACTCAACAGTTACTCTTTTTAATCTCTGCTAACATTATATGTATTTAGTTAAATGTACTATGTCTAAAATTACATGGTCATTAAAAAGCCCGTGTATGATCGACTAACACCATGCACGCTTGTCATTCAAGTAATTGTTTAGAGTGTAATAGGCTTTGTTCAATAAGTATTTTTTAATAATAGTTTAAAATTTATTAAAAGGTAGATCCAAAATATATTTCGGTATCTTATTATGACATTTAATGCCTTTTCCCTTAGTCGGGGGGAAAGGGATTGTTAGTAATGGAGACTGAGAATCCCATTGCTAGCAATATACCCAACCAGGTCGACCTCCTAGCGGTTCCCCCTGGAAACTATCATGGTTAATGCCTGATGAATTCATCAAGATGGGCTAACTAGCCTATTTTCATTCTCATCTATCACCCTTCACTGGTGCCTCGCCAGCGTATCCCGTTAGCGCAGGCGGAGTCACTACATTTTCACCCATCAAAAAAAAAATGGAGTAGGATACATAATGATTCCCATATCACCTCAGTGGCTTTACCGTTCGTACCGTACCGTGTTACAAAAACTCCTATCATTATGATAGATTTGATTTCGAGGTTGGTAGTGATTAAGCATCATTAGCGTTACTTGTGTCGTCATTTCCTTATCTTACTTAAAATAAAACAATTACCTACATGTAACATTCTAGTTCCAAAGTATGGTATGTTTTAAAATAAATTAATTAAAAGGCATATACGCTTTGTTAAAATTATTCAATTAAACTCCAGAATTGTTTGGTGCCCATTCCAAAGTCATGCGAAAAGACATTTCTTTTTTTGGGAGCCCCTGTCCTCTTAAACATAATTTTAAATACGCCAATGTATATACATTTTAGCTGTCTGGTCCCGGCGTAGAATGGACCAGCTCTTCCTTTTTGGGGGAAAAAGGGATTGTTAGTAATGGAGATTAAGAATCCCATTGCTAGCAATATACCTAACCAGGTTGACCTCCACGCGGTTTCCCTTGGAAACTATCATGGTTAATTCCTAATGATGGGCTGACTGGCCTGTTTTAAGAACTATTCATCATCGTCATCATTTCAGCCATTACCCGTCGACTGCTGGACATAAGCCTCCCCTATAAACTGCCATAAAGAACGGTTCTGAGCCACCTGCATTCACTGACTGCATCTAGTGGGGGGTCGTCCGACACTGCGTTTACCCGTACGTGGCCACCATTCAAGAACCTTTCTTCCCAATCGATTGTCGGTTCTTTGAGCTATGTGACCAGCTAATTGCCACTTCAGCTTGCTTATCCTTCAGGCTATGTCGGTTATTTTGGTTTTTTTGCGGATATCCTTGTTTCGGATTCTATCGTGCAAACAGACACTGAGCATAGCCCTCTCCATAGAGGCGGCTAGATACTGTTAAATATATATATATATGTCAAAAAATATAAAATTGAAATTACAAATAATAAGAACATTCCAAAAGTATATATATATATATATATATATATATATATATATATATATATATATATATATATATATATATATATATATATGCTATGATTGAAGTCAGTGCTTTTTTTTTGTTTTTGTGATATAAAATATTTTTAATAATTTAATCATTTAACCTACAATATGTACACCATTCATTGAAAGACCTTTAAACAGCCAATCCCTCTCCATAGATTAACCGAATGAAGTAACTGGGTAAACACACGTGGTAGATAACTAACTAGTTAATATATTGTTGCTGATTAATTTTGTGTGTACACAGATCTTACATAGTTTAATTATATTAACATAGTGACTAACCCGTAGATAACGGGCACGTTATTTATTAGTTTACACCCAATGCCATACTTACGATAAAGAATCATCTACTTTGCTAGACAACCGACTTAAAAAGAAGGGGGTTTCGATTTGTCTATATTTTATTTATTTATTTATTTCTTATTGCATTTCGTAATGTGGTTGGTAAATATTGAAAAAATCTAATTACCCGGTTGCCTGGAAGAGATCGCTTTTAGCGATAAGGTCGCCCATTGTTTTCTCATTGTGATTATTTCTTGTAATTGTTTGTTTTATAATAAGTTTTTTTTTATACAACTTAGAATGGTAAACAAGCTGACGGCCCACTTGATGGAAAGTGGTAACCGTCGCCTATAGACATGAGCAGTACCATGGACATAACAGAGTATACTGTTTCGCCCATGATACCCCCCATGCGTTGCCATTCCTGAGGACTCAGGTGTTATTCTTCTGTAGCCTGTAAATTCACGCCATATCTCATCCTTCAAACTGAAACACAGCCATGTAAACACAATTGCTTCACGGTAGAAACACGAATGGGACAGAGGTACCCAAGCAATCCACTTTTCCACACAAAGTCTCCCTCTGGTGTTTATATGTTATTATATATATTATGGGCATTTTAGTTGTATCTTACTATATTTCAAATCTAAATCTGTCTTGATAGTTATTATTGAAATAGGTAGTGTTTACTTTTCATAAAAAAGTGGTTTCTTTTGTACAAAACAAGGCATATTTTTTTTATTAGGAGCACCGGTGATTAAAACAGTAGAGGTCAGTTGCCTTATCGTGACGAACTCGATATACAAATAACCGCGATGATTTCCAGTGGAGTCCTCGTGGAGGTCGATCTACTAAGATGTATTGCTCGCAATATGTTTGTTAGTACCCATAGGTAGCAATTCCTTATAGTATATGATATTAATGATTAAATTACAATTACATATGAGCTTGTCCCATGTGTGTCGCCCCACGGTCAACTGCGCGCATGACCGGCGAGACATAATGCGCTTCCGCCGGAAGGGCTATTGTGGCCATTTTCATTTCGCCCCGACATTGTGCGCCCGCGCACACCGTGTGTATTCAATGTTGTGTAATCAAGCGCTGCATGTATGTTGGTTTAACTTAATACGTAGTATCATTAAAACTATGTAATATATGTATGTATATGTAAAGTAATACATGTTAAAATATAAGAGTTACGTACGTATATATGTTACAGTCAAAACTCTTAACCAGTCAAAAGTACTGTTGACTAGCAAAATCAGTCAAAAGCACTAATAACCAATAATTAAGGTTCTTCAAAACCTACTGCAAGCACCAGTCTTTCAAAAAATTGGTCTTACATATCTAATTGTACCTCAAGTTGTCACTTTATACTACCTTTTGTGAAGAGAAAATAAACCATTCATTCATTCATTTTGAGTCAATACCACTTTTGACCAACCTGTTGAGTCAAAAGTACTTTTGATTAGTTAAGAGTTTTAACTGCAACATATAAATAGTTTAGTACACCACTGTGAAAGGCGTGAATGTCGATATAAACAATACCAAAAGCGTCTCTTTTTTTTTAAATAAAATCGAAAATCATATCAGAAGCAAACATCATAAGAAAAAGGCCACACTGAAAAAAACAATGGGCGGCTTTATCGTTAAAAGTAATCTTTTCATTGCAACCTTTGGATGGTCAGGAATGTGAATGTGAATGGGAAAGGGACTCCATTTTCCGCACTTAGCCTCTCATTTGGGCCATTGTGCGTATGAGTCGTGGCTAGTGCAGCCAACCTAGCTCCGTCCAGAAGCGCAGAAGCTTCCTGGGTTCTTCACAGAGCGACCTCACCGTTCCGAGGATTTCTAAACGTTGATGGGCCACAGCCTCACATTCCAGGATTACGTGAGCTGCCGTTTCTTCGGCGTTGAAACAGCCTCGACATAGAGGGCTGTCTGTGGCTCCTATTGTGTATAGATGTTTGTTTAATGGACAATGACCCGTTATTGTCCCTATCATTGTTTTGAGATTTTTTCTGTCTAGATGGTCAGGAATAAGGGTGGCTAATAAATAGCAATATCTATATATTTTTGTTACAATATCTATGTACGGATATGATAACGAATATCTTAAAAGTATTTTTTTTTATACAACTTAGAATGGCAAACAAACTGACGGCCCACATGATGGAAAGTGGTATCCGTCACCTATAGACATGAACAGTACCATGAACATAACAGAGTATACTATTTCGTCCATGATACCCCGCATGCGTTGCCATTCCTGAGGACTCAGGTGTTATTCCTCTGTACCCAGTAAATTCACGCCATAACCCACCCTTCAAACCGAAACACAGTCATGCAAACACAACTGCTTCACGGTAGAAACACGAATGGAACAGAGGTACCCAAGCATTCGATTTTTGTACAAAGTCTCCCTCTGGTTCTGTAACCTGAAAAATAATACTGGGTAACAGACTTTTAACATATTCGAAAATAGTTATCCGACTGACATGGGCGATATTGAAAAGGGCGATGACCTTTCTTCCGTTCAAAGAAATCCAATTTATAGATAGATATTGCATCGGTATTCATGCTATCCGTGCCTAGTCACTAGTAATGTAAAATGATTAGGTCGAAGAAATGAATGGAAAAAAAGTAGAATGTATGAAATGATTTATAAACATACAACTGTATAAACACGCCTGTTTTTTTTTAATGGGTGATAATGGTATGGTAACCCCGTCTGCGCTATTGGTATACACTGGCGGGGTTCCAGTGAGGGATGACAGATGAAGATGATAGTAGGTCAATTGGCCCATCCTGACGAATTAAACTAGAATTAGTCATGATGGTTTCCAGGGGGAACCACGTGGAGGTCGACCTGACGGGGTATATTGCTAGTAATAGGGCTATTTGACCCCATTACTAACAATCCCTTTCCCCCCTAAGCACGCCTGTTGTACATCTTTATTTAAAATAAATTATAACATGTTTGTGTACAATAAAGTATAAATAAATTAATTAACATTTGAATAATATACCACGTTATTTTCATCAGGTTGGTTTCCTGAACCCAGATTAAGGCTAGTCCAGAAATTATGGGTTCGGCAGCATCTGGAATGGGTTGCGAGACGCCAGGCGGTGATTTGCGACTACCATTCACCGGCCTCAAGTTCTCTGCGAACCAACTCCGCGCCCTGAACTCCTACGTAGACGAGTTGTATGAGGAAGACCAGAAAGGTAGGATATTCTTATTTAATTAAAGGAAATAGAAGTCTTAGTCATTTAAGATCAGATTTTTTTTATGTAATGTTGATATTATGAATATATAGTAAGTACTTTTGTTTCATTACTTTTTAATGGGTGAAAATGGAACGGATACCAGCCTGCGCTGTCGTTATACACTGGCGAGGCACTAGTGATAGATGGATAGGTGAGGATGAAGACAGGTTAGTCGGTCCATCGTGAAGAATTCGACAAGAATGAAACACGATGGTTTCTTGGGAAAACCGCGTGAAGGTCGACCTTATAGGGTGTATTGCTAGCAATGGGGCTGTTAGAATCCATTACTAACAATCCCTTTCCCCCATATTTCACTATTAACTGATTACTGCTACGCTTGTGCAAAAATAAAGGCTGTATATTCTATTTTACATCAATAAACAAATTGTTGTGTTTAATTGAGCATTGGAAGATGTATGGAAAGATTGTTACCATATTATACATTCTCTATTGCATTTATAAAAGAAATACAGCGATTAGTGTAACATCTTGTTAGCAAAGGTGGGTATATTTCTAAAAGAGATCTCTTCCAGTCAACCCAATGTATAAGCGGGTAAACTAGTGCAGGAAAGGTACAAGAAAAAAAGGACTAAGCGTTAATAAAAAAATTATAGAAAACAAAAAAAAAAAACATCCACAAATTATAATGCAAATAGTATAAATTGAGAAGGAGTGTTTGTACAAAAATCGTTTGCTTGGGCACCTCTGTCTCATTCGTGTTTCTACCGGACTCAGGTGTTATTCCTCTGTACCCTGTAAATTCACGCCATATCCCACCCTTCAAACCGAAACACAGCCATGCAAACACAACTGCTTTACGGTTGAAACACGAATGGGACAGAGGTACCCAAGCAAACGATTTTTGTACAAAGTCTCTCTGGTAAAAATGTATTATTAACATAATAATTATTGTACCGTATTTCTAAAGAATGTCAATATATATATTATTATTTTTATAAAATTTATGATGTAAATATAGTCCCAAACTTACATACATAAAACAAGCCATTTTATAGCAAATCTTTTGGATTAATTATAACATTATTGATCATGTACGTAGGTCAGATGTCGACAGAGATGGAGAGTGAGGTGGAGAGTCTTGTTCAGCGTATAGTGGACGGCGCTGGTCAGAGGGACCCGCGGTTCAGGTGCTGTCACCTCATCGCCCTACATAGAGGGAAAATGGTTAGTTGTATTATAAGGAGGCATGGGTAATATCGATACCGATCCGATATCTATACATTGGGTTCCTTTGGACATTGAAGGCGGAAATAAAGTCATTACCCATTCCGATGTCGCTCGCATCGGTCGGATATCTATCTTAATTTCGATCGCGTTCTTCATATCTATTTTAAATATTGGATAACAGACATTTAATATATTCGTTATTGGGGCCAATATATAGATACTGGAACTAAAATACATAGATATTGCCATGTATTTGCCATCAATCAATACATAAAATAAAATCGTAACTGGTCGCTGTCTGTACATGTAAGATATATAAGAAAAACTATTATAGGGGGGCTTTATGAACGCAATAGAATCCAAAATAATGATTTTTAGAATTTTTGTCTGTTTGTATGTAGGTTTGTGCGCGCTAATCTCAGAAATGGTTTAACCGATTTGAATGCGGTTTTCACTAATGCTCTACGGTTTGCTCCACTTAACATTTAGTGTTTATTTTATTTCAATCGGTTCATAAATAAAAAAAAGTTATATCAATCTAAAGCATCACATATAAAATGCTATAAAATAACCGATCAGTTGAATTGGCTGAAATTTTATAAAGGTATTAGGTATGTAATTATCATTTAAGTATATAATACAATATAAGATCGGATCCATGAAGTTTCAATGGGAATGATATACGGGAACTACATAGTTAGAAGCGGGCAACGCTGCGGGAAATCATATAGATATTGTAATAATGATATTAGTAAAATGATGTTCAGATGCGGTCGCGCTCCCTGGAGTATTTAGTGACGTTGGACTCTCTCCCTGTGCTGAATGTGAACGATGATTGCCGGCTAGAAGAAGGCCCGGTGGGCTACGGGAAGGTCAGGATCACTGGCAGGGGAGCCGACAAGTGGGAGGAGTTCCTCACACCCTCGGGATACTTGTGCAGGTAAATCTTATCTTACAAATGTAATAAAATTGTCTTCAGTAAATTAGAGGTCTTAATAAAAATATTTTTAACAATTTTGTATCTGTCTGTATGTTTGTTCCGGTATCACGCAAAAAAAAACAATAGTTAAAAAAATAACAATGCGATTTTCATAGATGTATTTCTGAAGGTGCAACTTAAAACCTGAATGGCTACCTAGTGCCTAAATTCACGCGTTTTTATAAATGTTTTTTTTTTAACTACAATAGTGGCAAGCAAGCATAGGGTCCGTTTAATGGTAAACAGGGTAGCGATATCCTTACATATGAAATTAGTGCTTTGTCGTACTGACCACTTTGATCTGAAATATCTCCTCTTTGGTTAAGCATTCCAAATTCAAATTTATAAATTCATTTAGCTGGTAGTTTAGGATGTTTTGAGAGGGACACTGTTGTTTATCCCTTGACCATTAAGTTCCTTCAGTCGCTTCTCACGACACCCACAGAATAGAAAGGGGGAGACCATTCTATGTCGGAATCACACGGCATTGTATATTGAATTATAGTTATGTATATACTGAATAATAAATATATAATATGTTGATGTAATTTACACATTTTCTTTTTTTCATTTAAGAGTTTCCTCTTGTCGGTGCAACTAATTCATGCATCTTCTTCCAGCCAGCTCTATCCCAGGCCATATCTTTGACCTCCCTATACGACATGACACCTAGTGTTTCTTTTATATGTCCCATGTAGTTATTCCTCGGTCGTCCTCTTCTTTCGGAAAATCTTTTTGTTAATTTACACATACTTGAATAAAAATATACGCATATTACGCCGACCCCAAATGATTGGGATAAGGGTAGGAAGATGATGATGACACTTACTTGAATAAAAAAAAATTATGGAGTCATTGTATCTAATATATGTACTCGTATATAATCTAAGATTATAGATTATCTTGTTCAGGGATAAAGTATTGGAGCGGTGGGTGTCGCTGGTGGCACGCTGCACGGCGGCGCGCGGCGGCCGCGGCCGCGCCCGCGTGCTGTGCGCGCGCGCCGCTCGCGTCGCTAAGCCCTACCACTACTGCTACTTGGAGAGAGGTAACTCCAGCAACCACACATGCTTACCACTCAACATCATCATCATTTCAGCCATTATTCATCTACTGCTGGACATAAGCCTCCCCATAAACTGCTATGAGGACGCTCCTGAGCTTACCATTGACTCCTTGCAGTAGATTTGATATAATGGCTGTAATGATGATGTCAGGTCATACATAAATTCTTTATTTTCGTGTGCGGTATTACGTCTGTGAACATAAGTAGATATTCGCTTTAGCAAATATTAATACGAAATCCGTGGACTATTACAGATATTGGCTTAATAATAAAATACATTATCCTTATACAGTTCTTAATGAAAACGGTTGATATGGCAACACTTTGGGTTGAGAGGTTAGTAACAAGTACCTACAAGTTAATTAGTTTAGACATCTCCGACAGTTGACTAGGTGACGAGGTTTAAAATCAGTTGTTAATCCCAGGAGGTTTCGTTTTAGTTTACAATCTCAGTTTTCATAGATGGCGATTACATAGAAATTGTGAGATCGATTCTGATTTTTTTTTTATACAACTAGAATGGCCAACAAGCTGTCGGCCCACCTGATGGAAAGTGGTAACGGTCGCCTATAGACATGAGCAGTACCGTGGACATAACAGAGTATACTGTTTCGCCCATGATACCCCCCATGCGTTGCCATTCCTGAGGACTCAGGTGTTATTCCTCTGTACTCTGTAAATTCACGCCATATCCCACCCTTCAAACCGAAACACAGCCATGCAAACACAACTGCTTCGCGGTTGAAACACGAATGGGACAGAGGTGCCCAAGCAATCGACTTTTGTGCAAACTCTCCCTCTGGTAAAATTTCTTCTGATTTCTTTAAACCTATCTATAAAATTAAATTTTTAATTTGATTTTACAGCGAAATATTTGTTGTAAGGACTGGTATGAAGTGGCTTTCTAATAAAGTTAATATTTTTTGTAATTTTAGTTAATGACGAATGAATGAATGTATGAAAACTTCATTTATTTATATATTTAGGACAACCAACAAAGCGTACATTTATATCTACTTAAAATACATGATAATATGGTTACATTATAAAATGCTGCCTCAATTAAAGGCCGCCACGACACGCGTATACATAATATATTATTCATAGTATGAAAATTTATAAAAACTACAATACTAGTTATACAATAAATAGACTACAGTAATATTTTAGATTTGAAAGATTTGTACACTTATAATCTGTACATATGTGCAATGATACATGCCATGCTGTTATTAAGCTGAATAAATTTAACAAAAGAATCTATACAAAGTTGATTTGAATTTATTGTTTCCTTCAAAGAATGATTATAAAATTTAACAATATGTACACATACAAAATGAATGATTAATTAAATTAAAAAAACTTATTTACAAAGAGAGTGATTACTTTAGTTTTAGTATATTTTCAGTTCCAAATCGTTAATATTTTTTTTTAACTAGGTTCATTTTGCGGATGTACATATCATTGGTTAATTAAAATTATTTTGTTTAATTCCGCTACCATTAGTATGTGTGCGACTGTCAACACTCGAAGATTCACTTATTAGGGGTATTTTAACCGATTTTACCAGAGGGAGACTTTGTACAAAAGTCGTTTGCTTGGGTACCTCTGACCCTTTCGTGTTTCAACCATAAAGCATGGGTGTGTTTCGGTTTGAAGGGTTGGATATGGTGTGAATTTACAGCATCTAGAGGAATAACACCGGAGTCCTTAGGAATGGCAACGCATGGGGGGTGTCATGGGCGAAACAGTATACTCTGTTCTTCTTCTCTGGACTTCTGCAAGAATACACCTAGTTCAGTTAAATACGAGTAGTAACATATTTTATAATAACGTTAGGGTTCGAAATTATGTAAATGATAAATGAAACGCGGAACGTAATTGCAAATGGAAAGTTCAAAGCTTGTACCGCGGATGCGACCGCTGCGATCATTGTGCGAGGCTTGTTAGTGTTTTCCGTTTATTGCTATTTGAGTATTTCGGTACTTATTAAAAATAAATCGAATCCTGGACTCGAGTCCGTGGATTCGAATAAGTACTCGTATGAGTATTCGAATATAATGTTGATATTAGACTCGGGTACTTTTTTAATTAATTTTTTTTTTATATTATTATTTTAAGGGCTTTTACCTTCTTCAGGTATATCAGCCTTATCGTACCCTGAACTGATTTCTCAAACAAAACATTGTCTACTTTTCCTAGACGCGGAAAGAGAAGAATTAATGGGCATCAATAATTTACAGAGATGTTAAAAAAATGCTGGTTTAGGTTGCTTTCATGAAAATAATATGTAAATACTCAGTAATTTAATAATTTTTCTTTTCATAATTATGAAAATTATTAATAAAATGCAAAATTAACAGAAATAGTAAAACTTCTTATAAACACAGAAGTAGCATTCGAGTATCGTAAGTACTGGAAACTTGTATTCGAATATTGTGTATCTGACTTTTGTATATTGAGTATTCGAGTACCTGAGTATTTAGTAAATATTCGAGTCAGTACTCGAGTCAGCCTGATTCGGCATATCTCTACTGTAATACTGGTAACCGCTGGCCACCGTCAACTGTGCACACAGTTTGGGATCAGTTCTGTGGTTATGAGATGAATTGTTCCAATTTTTATTTTATGGTTATAGTTAAATTATAATATTATTGTATATACTCGTATGTAGTTATAGCAAATATTTTACACTAAAATTACGTATTCTGTGACAAATATAGATGGAACCAGAACTAATTTCCTTTTGATATTGTAATAATTAATGGTAGTTTACTGAAGACGATCAATCCGACTTCAGAAAAAGAGAAACCCTAATTCTCTTGTATTTTTTGTGTATATGTTATTTTTACTAGTTTTGGATGGAGAATAACGATTTTTCTTGTAGGGAGTCTTTTTCTTTCCAAAAGGTATCAAATCCACCATATATATATATATATATATATATATATATATATATATATATATATATATATATATATATATATATATATATATATATATAGACGTGATAGACGTTATATGTTGACCAAATTAGGCGACATTAAAGAGTCAAATAAAAATTACCTGTAACTAGCGAGTGTGTATGAAAAGATTGATGAATGTGGAGCAAGCAAAAGCGACTTGTTTGAATTGAAGCATTTGGCGTTCTGCTAGGGTAGCTAATGGGAGACAGCCGTGACAGTATGTGTATGTATAAAGGTCACACAAAGAGAAATTAGTATTGGGGGTGATTAATTGGAAATGAAATGCGTAAAGCAAATGGCCATACAAACTGGCGCACTTTGGTAGAGGTCAATCAATGCCCAACAGTGGACTACTATTGGCTGATAACAATTATAAATCATTGGTTATGTATTTAGTGTCACCTCCACAAACGGCCAACGATCGTCGCCTCGCCATAGTGGAAGGTGCCGCATGGGTGATGGTCCGGGTGGGCGCGGGTGAGGCTGAAGCCAAGCTCATGCTGGGCGTCCGGGTAGAGGGGTGCAGTGCAACCGCGTACACCACAAGGGTGCCTCTGACTCATCCGTTGGCTATGCTGCATTACACTAGCGCGCAAGGGGTCAGTATATCATTTCTGATTCATTAATGTAATTTTTTTATGATATTTGGAATGGTAAGTAAGCTGACGGACTACTTAATTGAAAAATTTTATTGCTAGCAATGAGACTAGAGCTAGTCTGCATTGCTAAGAATCTTTTCCTCCCAGTGAGGATGTAGTCAGTATGGTTCGTCCACTGGAACGAATTTGCCGGGAATTAAACACGATAGTTTTCAGCGGGGACTACGTGAAGGTCGAATTGATGGCGGTATAGTAATAGGGTTTTTAGATTCATTTAATAACAATTTCTCTCCCCTTGGTTTTTATCAATTTATCCCATAGTAAAATAAGTACAACTTTGTTAGAGTGACGATAAGTTTTAGTTTAATACGAGGAGGGTGCTGGACGTAGTCGGGTCAGGTGGCTTATCGTGACGAGTTCACCAGGTACTAGATAATCGCGACGATCTCCAGAGAGATCTCCGATCCAGAGGGTCGACAATTTTTTTATGCAATATAGAGTGGCAAACAAGCTGACGGTTCACCTGATGGAAAGTGGTAACCGTCGCCTATAGACATAAGCAGTATCATGGATATAACAGAGTATACTGTTTCGCCCATGATACCCCGCATGCGTTGTCATTCCTGAGGATTCAGGTGTTATTCCTCTGTACCCTGTAAGTTGCCTATCATATCCCACCCTTCAGACCGAAACACAACTTATTTAGCGAGTGTTGCATCGCAGGGCTACTACGCGGTGGCGGTGGGCCCGCCACCGGCCGTCGGTGGCAGCGGGGAGCGTAGCGCGTGGTGGCAGGTGCGCAGCCCCGCGCTGGAGGCGGCGCTCGACGCGCACGCCGCCCGCGCCGCCGCACCCGGCCGCCTCGCCGCCGCGCTCACCACGCTGCTGCACCGCATGCGCCACGGAGCTTACGAAGTCGGTAGCCGAGCGAACCATCTAAACATACACATCTGCCACGTCTTCCATTAGAGCGGGTAGAAAAAATTAAACGCCAAAAGCTCACATTCAAACAGAGCTCTCTCGCTTCCTCCCCACTTATCAATATTTTCATATACACTCGCCGGATAATGGGTACTTGCTATTTGGTCTACCGGCGTTCGTCGAGGCAGTCCTTACTAATATTTCCACTCATTCGTGTTTAATAAATCTTTTCAGTAATTGTTATTTCATTCATCCTTTTTAAATGACCAAGCCAGCGCAATATTCACTTTTCGATCTTTGCCCCTACAATGTCTTTCAGTCCACACTTCTCTCTAATCACACTATTTGTCACTCTGTCTTTTAAGGTAATACTCATGTGGAGGCATATAAATTTATAGGGCCATGGGACAGATGTTAACCTATAACCCTATAACAGATCCCTGTGCTCCGGATCAGTATTGGTGGTTACTCGCGTTGATGCAAAATAGATAGACAGATATATCATACAAATCATTCTCTCCTTCTCAACTGTATAATGGGGACTGGGGACATCCAACACTCCGATTTCAAAACACTATAATGAACATTGATGCCCACAAATGGTTGAAATTTCCATATATATTTCTTAGGCACTTTTACCAATCAGGGTACACTACGTGTTTTGAGCCGCTATGCAGTTAGTTGTGCGCTGCGTCGTCGCTTGCAACGTTGCGCCGTCTACTCGCAAGCTGCAGCCCGTAGCTGCGTATCAGCTCATCTAGCGCATCATCTACTGCTGATTTTGGATGAGTGAGTACCTTTCACCATTGGCACACTTAATATTATTTTCCAGGGGAGTTGGTCCTTTATAAAAGGTGCATGCATTTTTAGACATATTTTTTGTGGAGCTTCGTATATCCTGATCCCGCCATAAATACGCCTATATACGTACAAAACCATCTAAGTTGTTAGCTAGTTATCTAACTCCCTGTTGTGTAAGAACCTGTTTTTACCATTCTGTCATACATCTTTAAACCAATTTCAAGAACTAATTTCAAGGATGTATGTTACGTGGAGTTATTCTCTACTGATGATTTAATCGAAAACTTGCTTATCTCATAGGTTTTTAATTTTTAATTCTAGTATCATCTTATATTTTTAGTATATAGGAAAACGGTTTTATGTTTTTAAAGAGAGAGATGATAGATAAGGATGAAAGCAGGTCAGTTAGTCCATTGTGATGAATTCCCCAAGAATTAACCACGATGGTTTCCAGGGAAACTGTGTGGAGGTTTACCTGATTGGATTTATTGCTAGCAGCTGGGTTGTGTTGATTATTAATAGTCCCATTACTAATAGTCCCTCTCCCCCTTTTTCTTTTTCCAGGCTGGTATGCTTGTGCGAGAAAGGTGGGGTGGCTGGGTACGTGCACAGCGTGGATCGCGCGAGCGTGGCGCGGCGCGGCGGCCGCGGAGATGCCGCCTGGCACCACGACGCACGCTGTCTGCGCCGCTGCCTGCTGCACCTGCACGCCGCCGCAGGTCAGTAGCTGCAGCTAGCGACATATAGTAGTGCTGTTGGAATTCGGATTGGATTCGGTCTTGTACTCTAATTCTGTGATATTCTTGATTTTATACTTACCTGTGCATATAATTTACCAGAATCAGAAGAAATTCCACCTACACCTTCGGAATCCTTAGAAATGGTGCTGTTTAGCCGTTGGGAGAGTCTGAACAAGGAGTCGAAGATAGCAGCTGGTACCACACCCTCATACTCTAGGAGGCAGTTGCGCTACCTATGGAGAGTGTCCAGTGAGCTTGTGAAATGCAAGAACATGATCGCATGTGTGAGTATTATAAATTTATATAATATAATTTTAGGCTTCAATTTATATCTTGGCTTTAACTATATATAGGGGCTGAGACAATTTAATGGTCGAGGGATGGGCAGCAGTATTATTCTTAAAACATCATGAAAGCCTAATTGCGACCAACCCGCCTGCCAAACGTGGCAACTACTAACAAGATCCCTGTTCAGCAATCAACAAAAATAAGGTTACCAGTCTAATTTAAGTCGTACGTAACTAACAGAGCGTTTTTTCATTTTCACTTTCTACCAGGTTGGCCATTAGATATTTTACTGTTGCAAGCTACATAAGACATTTTTACCAAATATTTTGATTTTTAAACAAATACTTAACTTTATAACTAATTGCGAAGTTCATATAGATTCCTAACACGTCTTACCGATGTCTTACCTCAATCAAAGTATAGACGACTAGGCGCAGTAATCAAACTATTCCAAGCAGGTGATCCGGTAACTTCGGAGATGAACCCGGGTTTGGGCGGTAAAGGTTTACACGTGTTAAATCAGTTAGGAAGTTTTGGCAGTTAACAGTCACTGAAAAGCGCAGTTACGTGTTATTTATAGAGTTACACCTATTTACTTATTCCTATTTAATTCCTAGTTAAAAGTGATTTTCTCCCGTGAACGCTTAGACTGTGGTATGAGCTCCCTGCTGAGGTGTTCTCTAGAGACTACAATATGGAGTTCTCAAAAAGGGTATATTAAAGATTCTTCAGGATCGACAACGCACACGTGACATCCATAGTGTTATAGATGCCCATGGTTACTGTAATCGTTTATCATTAGATATTTAGACCTTCGTGGTATAAAAAAAAAATAGTAAGAGCCACACAATAACACTAAATGCCTGGTGCTCAAGCTAGGATACCTTGTGTTATGAAGAATCGGGCAACGACTATCTGGAAGTATAATCCAGAACATCCAGATTCGAGGTAATTCAGGAAAGTTCTATTTCTAAATTGACCCAACCGAGTACCAAATGCGAGAATTTCTTTATGCAATGTGCCCAAAAATAAAGTAAAATGTGTGATTTTTTTAAACGGATGATAATGGAATGCTAACCTTGCCCAAGCTAACAATATACGCTAGTGGGGCACTTGTGATGGATGATAGGTGAGCATGAAATGGCAGGTCAGTTAACCACTCGTGCTTAATTCACTTCGATTAGGACACGATGGTTTCCAAGGAAAACCTGATAGGGTGTAATGTTTGCAATGGGGCAAATAATCCCCTTTAGGGGGGAAAGGGATTGTTAGTAATGGAGACTGAGAATCCCATTGCTAGCAATATACCCAACCAGGTCGACCTCCTCGCGGTTCCACCTGGAAACTATCATGGTTAATTCCTGATGAATTCATCATGATGGGCTAACTGGCCTGTTTTCATTCTCATCTATCACCCTTCACTGGTGCTCCGCCAGAGTATCCCATTAGCGCAGGCGGGGCTACCATTCCTTTTTTACTTATAAAAAAAATCCCCTTTATTAACAATCCCCCCCCCCCCCCTCAATATGTAAGTATTATAAACTAAGAAACATATGAATATTCTCATTTTTTGCATTAACAGGAGAACCGTTTCGCCTTCCGTGAAAACCTGATTCAGGCGACGTCACAGAATCAGGAGTCGGTGGAGGACTTGATCCACATCCTGGCAATCATGCTGGACCAGGCCAGGGATTTGTACTTAAACAATTTCCAGCACAGGACGCTGGGGGAGTTCGATAGGGAGTTGTCTACCTACAGGTGGGTCATGTTTTATAGTTTATTTTATTAAAACATGCGACTTCAATAAAGGGAGAGACTCGATTCTACAGACACATTGGATATTTGCCAATTGTGAACCAATTTTATTAGTCTTTTTTAATTTGGTATACCCAACTACTAAACGTTCACGTATAGTGTGGTTTCAAAGAAATACTCTCCCGTGAACGCTCAGGCTGTGGTATGAGCTCTCTGCCGAGGTTTTCCCTAGGGACTTCTAATAGAGTCTTCTAGAGTGTTCTTCAAAAAGGGTATATTAAGGTATCTTCTGGGTTGGCAACGTGCACGTGCCACCTCTAGTGTTCCAGGCCATCCATACGCTACAGTAACCGTTTACCATCAGACAGGCTGTATGCTTGTTAGCCACCTTCGTGGCACAGAAAACAAATTTGAAAGTTTTTACTGCTACATTCTACGCATCATAGAATAGCATATGGGCAAAGGCTGACATTTTGGTAGGTTTTAAGTAGCTGTTTTACAGTCCTGAGTTGTTTTTGTTTCCTAAGTCTATTTAGTAATCATAATTAAACCTTTGCCGCAATTATATATTTTACTGAATCCGTTATAGTTATAGTTTAACAGTTCTGTTTTTATGGTTCTATGAGCTTTCATTCGCATTATGCGAGTTATGTATAGTTACATATGTATAGGTCATCTGCCTATACATAGTTAGTTATATTGGAATGTAAGAAATGAATGGTCCAGTACCTTAGGCAATGTCGGAATGTTTATATAACAATTTAGGGACATAACTTGGTATCATCGTTAGAAGACGAGTAGGTAAAAGTAACCACAGTCTAATAAATACTTAATTTATTAGACCGTGGTTGAACCGTAAAACAAATTCTGTCAAAGGCTCAGGTAATGTACCTTGGGGAGACCAGAATTCAATACCAGTTATCAATGGTCCTTTGAGTTTCACTTCAATATTAGCTCTTTAAACCTAGGCGTGACTTGTTTCTGAAACAAAACAAACGACCTGATAGACCGAACTTGTGAATTAAGGACGTCTGTAAAGTTTTCAAAATAGATTTGAACAAGTGTAGAGAAATTAGTTGGAATTTATATGAAATTTACAACTATAGAAACGAATGTCTTGGATACTTTGCTGTATTGTTATAAGGTTTTAGTCGAATTTAATATTACGTGTCATGGTAACGCCTCCTACGGTATTGGTTTACGCAGGTTGGGTACAGTCATTTGGGCTATTGTGACAAATTGCTCAGGAATTAATCACGATGGTTTTTGGAGAGACCCTGTAGACGTCGACCTGAATATACGTTACATTGGAGCAATGGGATTAGTCTCTCTAATTGGCATTTCGTAATTTATACTCTTTTTTACTTAGTAGTTACTGTTTGGGTTTCGTTGGTAACTTTATAGATATTTCCTATTATTATTTCGAAGGTAATTCTCAGGAGAGTAGTATTTAGAATATTATAGGTAGTACAGTGTATTATGTTTTATACACGTGTTATTTAAATATACATATAAGAACACCATATGGATACTATCAACAGTATATATACATTTTTATTGAGTATATACCAGCATAATCTGCCGTGTGCTATTCGTTGCTTACCCGTGAGTGCCGTAAGAGGCGACTAAGGAAACTTTATGATAGGGGGATGGGCAGCAGCGTCCTTCTTAAAATATTTCTGAGAGCCTAACTGCAGTTGCCAATCCGTCTGCCAAGCGTGGTACTACTAGAAAAGCTCTCATTATGGGAAGGCTTATTTCGTCCAGTAGTAGACAGTTAACGAAATAAATACCAGTATAATAAGCATGTATGAAAATGAGAATTCCGAAATATTACATCCATAAAAAAGTTATCCAAAGAAATAATATAGTTTTAGAGAGCACATGTGGAAATAAATCTTTCTTCAAATCGCAGGTCCAAGAAATGGAACAAACTCAAAGACTACTATGACGCATCATCAGCCTGTCTCATTGATGCTGTGCGCAGAGACTCTGATCTACGTCAAGAAGACCTTACAGATCCACTCAATGTCATGAAGAACATTCTCAATTGGCTTTATAAGGGTGCTAAAGAAGACAAAAAGTACTTGGGGCCAGTATTGAAACCCTATCTGGATGGACTTTTCAATTGTTCTTTGGAGAATGGATGGTTTTTAGAAGAGTTTGAGGCCAAATCTTGTGAGAATGAGTTGGAGAGCCTCAGAGAGTATTGCATGGGAGTGCATGATGGGAATGTGGAGCCTTGTATGGGGTTACTTGATTTGGCGAAGAGACATGCTTGGGCGAAGGCTATGGTGGACTTCGTGGACAAGTTTCGCCATGTGGGTAAGTTTTTTTTTTATGAAAGTAAATGAGTTAGTAGGTAGTTCTGTTTGCGCTATCGATTTGCGTTGCCAGGGTTAAAATGAAGTAGTTTAAGTGAGAATGAAGTCAGATCAGACGCATTTACCTGATGTTTAACCACGATGGATTTCAGGTCGGCAATCTTAAATTATAAATTGTCACAAAATGAATAAGAGCAAATCTGTTTAGAATTGATAACATATTTCCGTAATGGAGACATAAAAAAGTCAGTCTAATTTCGAATTTCCTTCTTTTAGAAGTCACTTAAGAATATGGGAATATTTAAAGTAGCTCAAGCATCAGAAATTCTTTACTGTTGCATAAATTTCCAGCTTTTTGAATAAATTTAGCTATATCCAATATTTTATGTGGCCGGGTAGCCTGCAGTGGTTATTGTAAAATATTGCTTACACATGTGATATGCTTCACTCGTGTTCTCCACCTCATGATAAACTTGAGAAAACTTGCATGATATAGATATTATGTTAATCTTATTACCATATTGTGGTCATAATTTTACTCTTATTATTAACATAAATAAACTATAACTAAAAAAACTGGGGGAAGGGATTGTTAGTAATGCGGACTACCAATGCCATTTCTAGCAATATACTCTATCAAGCTGTCCACTCCACGACCACTGAGTTCTCTTTAGTCGCCTCTTACTACACCCATGGGAAGGGAAGGGAATTTTTAAACATATTTAAAGGAAATTATAAAATAAACCTCTATATTAGTACACTCTCTACTTTTTCGGTCAAAAGCCATAATACCCTTCAGGGAGTGAAGAGCAAACATAAAGTTGTAACTAGTTATCGCTTCCTCTTAACTTATGCATGCCCAATATTTTAATAAGGGTAAAAACAAAGCCGACTATTTCGTATCGAGGCGGGAGGATCAAAATTTCAGAACGGTTTTGCATTGCGCGTGAATACGTTAACATTTAAAATTTGACTATTCGACGTGGACCCCCAGATCCTGGGGTGGCTGGTAGTATTCTCTCGGTAAACCGAAAGTCGGTAGGTCAACTAGAGCTGGTGAAAAGTTAGTACTAGTTAAGGCCGCTCGACTTAGAGTTAAGTATACTAGAAATGTTATTTGTGGTTTGTTTTCAATGGGTGATAATGGAATGGTAGCCTGTACTATCGGTATATGCTGAGCAGCAGTGAGTGATGATGGGAGAGGACGAAAGCAGGTCAGTTGATCCATTGTGAGGAATTCAAAAAGAATTAACCAAGATAATTTCTAGGGGGAAACGCGTGGAGGTTGACCTGGAAGGGTATATTGCTAGCAATAGAGTTGTCAGATCTTCATTACTAACAATTTCTATCCCCTCCCATTACGTGTAGCTACTACCATATGCAAGAATACAATGTGTCTACATTTTATTCATCTCCTAGATATCGCTTCTTTCAATTTAGGGAAATAAACGCAAAGGTCAATATGAAAGGAAACGTCAAAAGGTTAGAAATATGATATTGAGGTGAGGTCAGCTTGTAGTTTGAGAGAGAGAGAGAGAGAGAGAGAGATGGAGAGAGAAAAAGAAACTATTGATACTGAATTTATTTCTTTATAAAGGCGTTACTACTACTCGTATCAGCATGTAAATTGACACACTCAAAAATAAGTTTGAATTAATAAAATAATTAACGTCATTGGGTGGCTGTTTGTTACGCGGACTTTCGAGGAAGTTTAAAATTTACAAATGCCTCTTCCATTTTGCATGTGTAACATCAGTGTGAAAAGTTAAGAACTTGCAACTGTGGCAACTTGCAAATCCCGGCTAAGTTCTCGATACAGAGTCCCTGTGAAATCTGCGCGTACTTGTAATAGTTTAGTAACACTATGCACCTCAGTATCTCTTGTTGATTGCTAATTACAAATCACTAGCTGCAAACTACGGTTTTGCTCATGTTAATTAGCATAAAGGTATCCTGTAATATATTATTGTTGACGTTGTAATATAAATTGTTGACGATTGGCGCCTTAGTGTCCGACTCGACTCACTGAAACTGCGTAGAGATGTTGCGTCTCTGTGCATCTTCTATCGAATTTATCATGGGTAGTGTTCTGAGGAATTGTTTGAATTGATACCTGCTGCTGATTTTCACCATCGTACAATCCGCCATAAACTGAAATTTCATCCCAACCATCTGGATGAGTGGCGGTCCTCCACCGTGTGTTTTTCAAGGCACTTTCTTCCACGCACAACCACTCTTTGGGATCAACTTCCAGCAGCAGTATTTCCGAACTGATATGACAACATAACCTTCAAGAAAAGAGCAAATTCCTTTTTAAAGGGCCGGCAGCACACCTGCCATGCCGTTAGTGTTGTGGGTAATCCTGGGCGGCGGTAGTCACTTACTATCAGGTGAGCCGCATGCTCGTTTGCCCCCCTGTGTTGTAAAAAAAAAATAATGTAAGATAAGGACCATTTATTTAAACTCTTTTAGTCGTTTAAGAGTAATTGAGTAATAAACATTTAAACAGCCTTAAAAACTTATAAGTAGTAAAGTATCTATGTTGTGTGTGTAATAACTATTAAGCCTCTAGTCTTAATAGTGAATATTTGTCAAATTAATATTTGATACATAAATAATAATATAATATTTTAAATATTAATAGGGTGGGATATGACAGTCAATTTACAGGGTACAGAGGAATAACATCTGAATCCTCAGGAATGGCAAATGGTATCATGGGCGAAACAGTATACTCTGTTATGTCCAATTGGTCTATAGGCGACGGGTACCACTTTCTATCAGGTGGACCGTCAGCTTGTTTGCCATACTAAGTTGTATAAAAAAAATCATATTAGCCGCTAATTGTCCACTGTTGAACATAGGCCTCCATTTTGGGAAGTTTTGCCAATAATTACCACATTTGGCAGGCACGCTGCTGTCCATTCTCTTACGACACCCACGGGAAATGAAGGAATGGCCCATTCTATGTCGGGATGACATGGCACTTATAATATAAATTTATCTTTTTAATAAAGTCGAAACTATGGCTAGTAGATCTGGTTATTAATAGTAATAATAATAATTAATAGAACTATAAATAAAATAAATTACATTGAGATCATAGGATCTCTATGTGATTTATTTTATTTATAGTTCTGTACTTCTGTAAATCATGTCAGAAGAGACTTGTGCTTTTACCTTATTCAGGAATATAAGCCCTATTGTACCCTGACTTGATTTCTCAAAGTTTTATTCACTTTCTCTCTTGTAGTTTATTTATTTATTTTATTTATTCATTAGTACATATTTATTTATTCATTATACATTAGTAGTATATGTGTACATGGCGGACTTAATGCTAAAAGCATTCTCTCCCAGTCAACCATAGGGAAGTGTTAGAATACTCGAATGCGGTACTACTAATTAAGGTCTTAAGAAGTGAAATTTAATTAATATTTAATTTACTAATTATATTTTTATTATTTAATAATTTCTTCTATTGAAATGACGGAAATATTTAATTTGTCTTCTCACCAAATATGAAATACATACAATAAATCTACGATTATGGACTAATGGACAATAAATCTATAAAAGGGTGTCAAAGTGACGCTCAAGAGAATTCATCGGCCGAGTGAAAAGGGAAATTCAACAAAAACAATGGAATATTTTCGTTTGAAAAGTTTCTCAGCGGGTTTAATCGCTTTGAATTATAATAAAAGCTTAATTACATTTGGTCCAGGAGTCAGTGGCACTTGGAAGGCATCTTAAGGCAATTAGCCCTTGCGAACTGCTTCTTTGGAACTCTTATTTTATTTATTTCTTATTAGGCCTTTTGTTGTTACCCTCTTGCTACCTTTCTTGTCCACAGATAAATTAATGCATTAATTTGATCAAATTCTCTGTCCGTTGATATATAATTATTTAATAACGAGTATTTATAGAAAACAGTGTAATTTTAACTTAAAGACTCTTCAGAAAATGTATTATTGGCATGTTCATTTGCACAAAATAAAAAAAAAATTTAGTTAATAGAATGTTACTGATTTTTTTGATATTCATGTACAATTGCACAATTTCGATTTTTGTCTAGCTATCAGTTTATATGTGGTCCCGGCGTAGAATTGACCACCTCCTCCTTTCCAGTAGGTGTCGTAAGAGGCGACTAAGGGAACTTAACAATCGAGAGATATGCAGTAGCGTCCTACTTATAACATCACGAAAGCCTAACTAACGGTTGTTATTCTGACTGCCAAGAGTGGCAACTACTAGCAACCCCTCCCCTCCTATAAGGGGCTGTCTTTGTTCAAAAGTGGACAGTTAACGACTAATATGGAATCAGTTAATTTTACTAAAGCTGAAGGCGGTGTTATTGCTGAGAGCAATCTTTTCAAGACAACCTTTAGGGTAATGGAGTAATTTTGTTACAGACTTCCGTTTAGTGTTCCCGACAGGGGACGGCATGGCTATATCGTATCCGATGAAGTTGCCGTCCCGCCGCGAGCACAGTTCCGCTCGCACCCTTACCCTCAGCAGGCGGGACAAGGCTGAAGCAAAACTGCGTCTCGCCAGGAGGTGTGTGCTGGCTGCGTTCACCACAGCGATTATTGGAGACAGATGGTAAGTGATAATCCTATTATTGACTGTTTTAACCCAACTTAATGGTTACTAATAGTAATGAATTAATTTGTTTATACAACTAGAATGGCAAACAAGCTGACGGCCCACCTGATGGAAAGTGGTAACCGTCGCCTATAGACATGAGCTGTACCATGGACATAACAGAGTATACTGTTTCGCCCATGATACCCCCCATGCTTTGTCATTCTTGAGGACTAAGGTGTTACGTCTCTGTACCTTGTAAAGTCACTGCCATATCCTACTCTTCAAATCGAAACACATACATGCAAACACAACTGCTTCATGGTAGAAACACGAGGATAGATTTATCCAAGCAAACGACTTAATTAATTGGACGGGTGGTCCCGGCATAGAATAAGCCACCCCTGTCTCTTCCGTGGGTGTCGTAAGAGGCGACTAACGAAGGGCGAGGAATGGGCAGCAGTGTTCCTCTTAGTTATACTCTCGTTTAGATATTTTTTCCATTATTTTTGTATGTGCAATGAATCTTAATTAAACTTACATAGATAATTGCATCCATGTGACCCTGGCGGCAGGTCGTTAATCTTAATATATAAAAATCCCGTGTTACAATGTTCGTTCACGCTAATCTTCGAAACAGCTCAACCGATTTTAATGAAATACAGTGAACGCTCTATATAAGCAACTCATTTGAAGCAATTTCAATTTCCAATGGCAACGCATGGGGGGTATCATGGGCGAAATAGTGTACTCTGTTATGTCCATGGTACTGCTCATGTCTATAGGCGACGGTTACCACTTTCCATCAGGTGGGCCGTCAGCTTAAAAAAAATTATTTTCGAAAATTCTATTTGCCCTTGCGAATCTGGTCCTGATCGCTAGATGTCAATAAAATAACACCCGTTTCAATAACATTATGATCACGTGTTGACCTGTCAAACGCATGTGTTACGTAGTTACATGCAAGTGGACGTATTGACGCCGTTTATATTGTTAACAGACGATCACCCTCGTCCCGTAGACGGCTATAAAACAAACAGCGCTGATGTGGGACGAGGACGGTCCAATTTCACTTTCTTATCCAACCCTACCCGTGTTCTGATGGATCGAAATCTTACTTAGTTTTTTTTTAATGGGTGGTAATGGAATGGTAACCCCGCCCCCGCTATCGGAATACGCTGGCGGGGCACCAGTGTAAGGATCATCCTTTGAGCTGAGAATGAAAAGACAGGTCAGTCAGCCCATCGTGATGATTTCAACACGAATTGTTCACGATGATTTCCAAGGGGAACCACGTGGAGGTCGACCTAATAGGGTATACTACTAGCAATGGGGCTGTCAGACTCCATTGCTAACAACTCCTTTCCCCCCAATCTTACTTAGTATACTGATGACCTAGATCGCTGTCTGTACAGAGAAGCTATGTAAGACAATTATGTCAGGATTTTTTTACAAATACAATCAGGCTTAAGTAATATGTATATGTAATATGTTACTATATTTCACTTAAATTGTTTAATTGTCTTTGTATATTTTTAGGTTTCTGGTACAATAAAGAGTAAAATAAATAAATAACTTATTTATGTACTCTCTTAGATAGGCAAAGAAATTTTTTTATACAACTTAGAATGGCAAACAAGCTGACAGCCCACCTGATGGAAAGTGGTGACCGTTGCCTATAGACATGAGCAGTGCCATGGACATAACAGAGTATTCTGTTTCACCCATGATACCCCCATGCGTTGCCATTCCTGAGGACTCAGGTGTTATTCCTCTGTACCCAGTAAATTCACACCATATCCCACCCTTCAAACCGAAATACAGCCATGCAAACACAACTGCTTCACGGTTGAAACACGAATGGGACAGAGGTACCCAAGCAATCGACTTTTGTACAAAGTCTCCCTCTGACGACCCACCTGATGGAAAGTGGTAACATCTCACTCAATGTACATGAACTAAATATATAAAAAAATCTCGTTTTTTAAATAATTTGAAACTAAAGCAGTGTTAATTTGTAAAGTAAGCTTCCAAACGTGGACTGATAAGATACAACGGGCCCGACCTGATTTCCATTGGGGCACAATTTATCGGTTTCTAGTCGATAGGTCGGCGCGCCGGCTATTGATAACGGCCACGTGGCTCCGTTCGACTTGCAGACAGCAGTTCCTAACATGTTTAGAATATTAATGGAGCGCTACTATGGAATACTTTTTAAGGAATAAAAAAAACTTTATTTTTATCGTTGAATGACCTCAATGTAGGAAAAACGTTCATGCTCACTTTTTTACTTTATCCGAACAGTAAGTACTTTATTCGCAATTTCGTGTATAATATAGTATATGTCATATGTGTGTAAGTATATTCGTTTATATATGTAATTTTAGTATGTATGTCTATCAATAATTACTAGTACCGCTTTCGAGTATTCTGACACTTGCTTATGGTTGACTGGGAGAGAATGCTTTTAGCATTAAGTCCGCCATGTACACATATTTGTACTAATGAATAAATAAAAAATGTAGGAGATTATTTTAAGGATTTATTATATGTTTATAAAACTTCATTGATATCGATGGAACTTAAGTATCATCATTATATGAGTCGTTAACTGTACACTGTTGAACATAAGCCTTCTCTAGAAGGGGCGTTTTGCCAGTACGAGTAGTTGCCACGTTTGGCGTCGGGTTGGTAATCGCAGTTAGACTTTTAGTGATGTTTTAAGAGAGACGCTACTGCCCATTCCTCGCCATTCTTAGTCGCTTCTTACGACACCCACGGGAATGGAAGGAGTGGCTTATTCTATGCCGGGACCTACATGGTGACTTAAATATTTATAACTAGCCATTCACCCCGGTTTCGCACGAGTGTACTAATGAATAAAATGAGATCGAATCTTCCATCTTACTCACTTTTAATATAGAGATTATTAGTGAATTTATTTTTTATTTTTCATTGAATTTTCAAAAATTTTCTTTCATACAAACCTTGTTCTGATAATTATAAACACACCAAAAAAGAATTGGCTATGTATGCACATCTGTTCTGAAGTGATGCGCTTATAGACTGTCGTCAATTGGTTTTTAAATTGTATGAAAGTCATCGACATGAAATATCTTTGTTTTACTTATGTTTTTGCTGCGAAACAACTATATAAGCAGTAAAATGTAAAGTAAGGAAGTTGTGAGCGAAAGGACTGTATGCTGGTATGGAAACACGGTGTTTTTAGAAAGATAATATAATTATATAAAAAATATACAAAGCAAACTAACGGAGCAAAAAAGCGCACGAAAACAAAACTAAACTGACACAGACTTCAAATTAGAAATAAAACATCTTTTTAATAAAAGTTAAAAAAGAGACTAAAAAAGTGCGTCGTGCATAGAAGTAAATACATATATATTTTAACTACATATGAAATATGTGTGTATTTCGATTTGAAGGTATGTGCATTATAGAGTGCTGTTGCATAATTCGATAATCCTCAGGAATTATAGCATGAGGGGATCATCACAGTGCACCTCATGATTACAGGCGACAGTAGATCCGTTATCAGGTTGTTCGTCAACTTGTTTGCAAATTTAGGTGTCATAAGAAATCTTATACGACCCATAATTTTGTCCATTATCACCCCATAGTTACGAACTACCGATTCTGTCAGCTGCAACAAAGCAGCTGCGCAGAAATTCGAATTTGAAACACGTACATGGATGGAGCCCTGCCGTGTTAACGATCAATCTTGTTTTTCTAGCGACACGCTTTAGGAGGCAAGTTTTTATTGACGCTACTCAAGAGCGCCTAGATTTAATTTATTTTATGTACACCGTTTATTTTTAGCTCGAAATTAAACGGAATAGCTCGGCACGAGAGCAGCGAAGAGATTCTGGCCAGCGTCAAGAATGGCAACTACTGGCGCAACAATACAAGACCGGATATCATACCTTCAACGTCCGTACAGGATATTTCTAGGGAGAACAATGATGTGTTGAAGGTGAGACGAAGATCCAGGAGGAATAGGCCGGTGACCTCGTATGGCTTTCCAGAAATTTCTCTCACCGACCAGTCGGATGCGAAGACGATGAGGCGGAAGTATCATACTTTGAGGAGTTTGGTGTACACGGAGCCTGTTGAAAGTATCAAAGAATTGCGTGAGAGGCCCAAGTCTGCAGGAAATACCGTAAGAAACAAGGCAGCTTTGAGCAGGCCCAGTATATTGGAGACATTGGACTTTATTAACGGCGTTAAGGATGCATTAAGTGGTAAGTCAATACATATTTAAGAATGTACATATTTCATTTATGAGTCCATGAGGGTCATGGGATTTTAACAATATAATGGTGATGATGTGTTAAATAGATGATCAGATATGCGTCATTAATAACAGCGTTTTTTAATCTAATTAAAAAAATATTAAATTAAATTAAATAACATATAATGTAATAAATGAATTGATTATGGTCATGTTTGACATTCAGAAAGACTATAGACAAATAATATTAAAGACAAACAATATTAATCTATTCTCAGTTTAACCACGGACTTTAACAATAAACAAAAGAGTATATATATATGCGTGTGTGTGTCAAATACATGGTAGTATGTGTAATGTTTTTTTTATTGATTTAATGTATTTTTATGATTAATTAAAAAAAAAATAGCATTCTGCATTCCTTCTCTATATAAACTATAAGTGTACCAAATTTTATGCTCCTACGTCCGCGCAATTTTCGTAAAAAGCGGTCCAAAGTTTTTGCATCACGTATTAATATATAGATAACTACAAAATAACTTGTGATAAAAGTATAGGTACTGAGTAACAATACAATTTGTCACCACACCTTTTCCCCAGATATACTGAGAGGTGATTAGGGAATTAATAATAATAATGATTTTTTTTTATAAATATGGTTGGAATAGATCCTAATTAGTGTTTTAGGGGGAAAGGGATTGTTAGTAATGGAGACTGAGAATCTCATTGCTAGCAACATACCCAACCAGGTCGATCTTCTCGTGGTTTTCCCTGGAAACTATCATGGTCAATTCCTGATGAATTCATCATGATAAATGAGGTTAACTGGCCTGTTTTCATTCTCATCTATCACCCTTCACTGGTGCTCCGCCAGCGTATCTCGTTAGCGTAGGCGGGGTTACGATTCCATTTACACCCTTTAAAAAAAATTGTTTAAGAATCACATATTTAGCCATATTGTTTTAATGGCGTACAAATGTAAAGACTTATTTAGGTAGATACATTTTAGATAATATCAAATTTTATAGTGACAATATTTATTTTATTTAAAATAAAAATAATAAATAGCAAATTGCTAATAACATTTTAAAAATGTCAAATAGATTTACCGTATGTAAATCTATTTGAATAATTAAAATGTCAAACTCTTTGATCAAACATTTCTCTTTAAATGACAAAACGAAGTATAATATTTCAGTATAAGAAAAGAAAACCAGAAATACCTAAAACCATGCACTAAGCACGGTATTATTCGACCAATATCATCTTTAATGTGTTATTACGGAGATGAGTCTAGTTTGTGTCTATATTACTGATAAAAATCCCTATATTCAGTGGAGGAATCAGGGGCATCGGATGCCGAGGAGACAGCCTGGTCTATGGAGGAAGAATGGCTGGTAGGACAAACGGCGCCTTTGAACTTGATCGCCTCTCGGTCTGGGGTGCACGCGCTGCACCTCACCCTCGGAGACTTGGTACTGGCTCTTCTGCAGCGCGGAAGGTTCACCGTGAGTAAATTGTATCTGATATTGAGTGCTTTTTTAAATAAAAAATATAGAGGTATATAATTTTAAAATATTTGTTCCATAAAAAACACGGATTTAGGAACATAATTAGTTAATTTGATTTAAAAATTTAACTACTAAACCGATATTGATAAGATTTCTATAGAAGTCACCTGAAAATATATCCTTTCGGATAAAAAAAGAATTTTCCAAATCGGTTTAGAAATGACGGAGTTATGAGGCAACAAACATAAAATATACAAACGCTCTGAAAACCTGATTTTTTTAAAGTCGGTTAAAAATATAGTGCATGATCTGATTATGGAACAAATTCAACTTTGATACTAACAAGAAGTTCTAGTTGCCTTTAAATTAATTATTAATGGCAAAATAGTCTTATGGCCTTCTGCTGGTGAGTGGTAACTGTTGCTCATCCACAGGTATGAACACGAATAGCATCATGCATATAACAGACTATTTTTTTTATACAACTTAGAATGGCAAACAAGCTGATGGCCCACCTAATGGAAAACGATAACCGTCGCCTATAGACATGAGCAGTACCATGGACATAACAGTGTATACTGTTCCGCCCATGATACCCCCCACGCGTTGCCATTCCTGAGGACTCAGATGTTATTCCTCTGTACCCAGTAAATTCACGCCATATCCCACCCTTCAAACCGAAACACAGCCATGCAAACACAATTGCTTCACGGTATAACGGTGTAATGGTGAATTTACGATTTATTTATTTGATTTTAAATTTAAAATTTTCTGTTTTTATGTGTATAAATATTATAATTTTATGATATGATATGTGGAGTTAATTATATTGATAACCTTCCTTCAGTATGTTCTCCGTTTGCCAAATAATAGCAATTTCTTCTCTACATTGAAGATACTGCAAGAACTGTGCTCTTGGCTGGGGGAGTCCAGCGAGGGTGCCCTCTTCGCTCTGCACCGGCTGGGTCGCGCCGCCAGGTCCAGGAGTAGCGAGAGAGCTACTAAGTACGTATTACACATTTTTTTATACCACGAAGATGGCAAACAAGCATACAGCTCGCCTGATGGTAAACGGTTACTGTATGGACGCCTGCAACACTAGGAGTGTCACGTGCGCATTGCTGACCCTGAAGAAATCTTAATATACCCTTTTTGAAGAATCCCCTACTGTAGTCTCTAGGGAAAATCTTCGCAGGGAGCTAATTCCACAGCCTGGCCACGTGGAGGTCGATCTAATAGCATATATTGCTAACAACGGGGCTGTTAGACTTCGTTGTAAACACTCTCATATCCCCTTATATCATAAACTGTTCACTTTTGAACATAAGCCTTCCTCATAAGGGGAGTTTTGCCAGTAGTTGCCAAACTTGGCGGGCGAGTTAGCAACCACAATTAAGCTTCTAGTGATGTTTTAAGAGGGACGTTGTTGCCTATTCCTCGACCATTAAATTCAATTAGTCACCTCTTACGACACCCATGGGAAAGGATTCTATCCCGGGACCACAATGCAACTTAAATATTTATAAATAGTCGTCCGCTCCGGTTTCGCACGAGTGTTTACCTTTTTTTTAATGGATAATAATAGTATGGTAACTCCGCCTGCGCTAACGGTATACACTGGCGGGGCATCAGTGAGAGATGATAGGTGAGAATGAAAAGGCAGGTCAGTTAGCACATTATAATATGTAATACACTTTGAATTCAGCACGATGATTTCCAGAGGGAACCACTTGGAGGTCGACGTGACAGGGTATATTGCGAACTGGTAGTTCGCATTACTAACAATTCTTTCCTCCCCAATATTACCTGTTTTTTTTTTAATGGATGATATATAATGGAATGGTAACCCCGCCCGCGCTATCGGTATACACCGGCGGGGCACCAGTGAAGGATGATAGGTGAGGATGAAGTAGGTCAGTTAGCCCATCGTGACGAATTCAACAAGAATTGTTCACGATGGTTTCCAGGGGGAACCACGTGGAGGTCGACCAAATAGGGCAATACAGCTCGTCTGATGGTAAACAGCATATTGCTAGTAATGGGGCTGTCAAACTCCATTGCTAACAATCCCTTTCCCCCCAATATTACCTGGTTAAACAGAGAAAGCCACGGACAAAACTTAGTAGACAAAATCGTTTACAGTATTAATATTCGTAAACATCAGCATATATACAGGTCAATATTGCGAGATGACTCGTTGATCTTTAGACGTGACGTCGGTCGGCGGCTCGCTATGATGTCTATTCATATTGTAAGTGCTATCAACAGGTTGTACTCGGAATATAAGCAAATACCCTCCGTCAATTCAATTGTAAGGATGAAGTAATAGATTTCTTACAATACAATAACCGTGTGATACTTCAGAATGGTGTTTCCCAACGTGGGGCCCACGCCCCACAGATAGGCAATTTGATAGTTAAAGGAGGGCAATTAAAACAATGGACTTGAAGCGATTTTAACCCTCTTGCTCCGGGCCATTTAAATGCAATGCTACGAGTAGATATCGGTGCCAAATTTAACAAAAAAAAGTAAATTAAAATAAATACTATAAAAATATATATTAGGTATAATTTCGTTTGACATTATCAAAATATCAACTTTTTTTTTATACAAATTAGAATGGCAAACAAGCTGACGGTCCATCTGATGGAAAGTGATAACCGTCGCCTATAGACATGAGCAGTACCATGGACATAATAGAGTATACTGTTTCGCCCATGATATGATGCGTTGCCATTCCTGAGGACTCAGGTGTTATTTTTCTCAGGAATGGCAACGCATGGGGGGTATCATGGACGAAACAGTTGTATTATAAAGTAGTATAAAAAAATACTCATATTACCTACACTATACATATATATATTTATAAAAACGATTTACTTCTTTCTTTCTGTGTGTATAAATTGACTAGAACTAGAACATTTTCAGACTGTATTTCTCAAGAGGCAGTAAGAGCATGTCATTCTTTAGCGGATCGCATGGGAAACGAGAATATGTGCCGTTTCGCCCAAATTTGCGATTCAGCTCTATTTTGCAGCTTTACTTCCTTGACATAGAATAAAAAGTTATCCAATGTGTATTGACTGACTGAGACTGTAGCCTCTGTTCTTTATATTATTCAATTCAGCGGATCATTTTATTCTATGCAACTTAGAATGGCAAACAAGCTAACGGCCCACCTGATGAAAAGTGGTAATCGTCGCCTATAGACATGAGCAGTACCATGGACATAACAGAGTATACTGTTTCGCCATGCGTTGCCATTCCTGAGGATTCAGGTTTTATTCCATTGTACCCTGTAAATTCACTGCCATATCCCACCCTTCAAACTGATACACAACCATGCAAACACAACTGCTTCACGGTTGAATCACGAATGGGACAGAGGTGTCCAAGTAAATTACTTTTGTACAGAGTCTCCCTATGGTCTTCCTTATTGAAACATTTTCACTTTATTTATTTATTTGGAAAACATAACAGTTACAATTGAAAAAATACGTAGTTATATACATGCAAGACAAGACAAGATTGGTATCCTAAAACGTGTTAACACAACATAAATGAGATGCAGTTTAATTAAAACTATTAAAAATTACTAAAACAATTGAACGTGAAATTCTATATTAATACATTTCAAACACATATGTGTATATAGATAGATACTCTTTCTTGTTTCCTCCATAAGATTACAATAGTAAACTTCTTATAAATATAAACAATTATAAGAAAATATTACACTGAGAAAACAACGGGCGACCTTATCGCTAAGAGCGATCTCTTCCAGGCAACCTTTGGATGGAGAGGAGCAATTATAAACAGTTTGACTGGAGGCACGAAAGTTTGGTTCGTTAGTTTAAATATTATATATAAATATAGAGATATAATACGTATAATAAGTTCAAAGAAAGATTTATACCTATATAAAGATACAAGCGGAATTTAATATTTTATTATAATAGTGTTTTAATGAAGATATTTAATGAAGACAGGTTGTTAGTTTATTTGCAAAATTAAGTTTTTTTTTTATATAAAATATTATTTCGTCAAGTAATATACACGTTATGTTTAGCTGTATACCTGTACCCTTTTAAAATAACTTTATTATCGCATGAAATGAACTTTTTTAACGTCATTATCTTCGTAACCGGAGTATGTAGATTGATCGGGTTAAAAAATAGATATATAGATAAAGAGAGATAGATGGATAGGTATATAATTTATTTGTATTACTTTCTCGTACAGCCCACAAATAATAACAGAGCTTAGATTACAGATAGAGCATCGAGTCTCAAAAGCGGGTCAACTTTTTGTCAGCTAATTGTCAAATTAGCTGACTCGTTTTTTAATCAGTGTTCTATATACTTAGGCACATAATGTATCTTGTGACGTATCTATATTTAATTATTTAATTAATAAAATGAGATTCTACGCATTAAAAAGCTGCAAAAATTATAAAATAAAATAAATATAAAAGTTATAAAGGAATCACTTATAACTATTTATCACGCAAAATTGTATGAAAAAGTTGACTCGCTTTTCTCGAATCATTTGTATGGAGACACTCTATCTATATAATTTAAGCAACAGAGATAAAAAAAAAGGGATAAAAGTATACATATACAAAAAAAAGGAAAAATACATAAAAGAAATAATATAATTTTTCATTTCGTGAGTGTGCCACTAGCTTATGTTCTTTTCCATTCTATATATATGTATAGGTATATAACAAACATCATAACAATCGGATGAGCCGTTAAGGCGCTAAGAGATGATAAACAAACTTTCACATTTTTTATATTAGTTTTATATTACTTCTTTCACTTCTTGCGTAGTTCTTGGAAGCTTCCCGAAGCTGAAGGGTCAACGGTGGAGCCACCGCAGAAGTACAGAAGCCGACCACCGGATTACATGTCTGGGGACGAAGCACCACCCCCACCACCACCTTTACCAAGACGTGTCTGTAAAGAGAAGGAGAAACAGGTAACGTTGCTAGTTTGCGCGCTCTAATTGGGCTCGATTCTATTTTATTGATATCTCTTAACCTATTTCTTAAATTAAACTTTCAATTTGATATCATAACGAGGTCTTTATGCTACTAAAAACTACTATATACTAATAAATAATTTTTTTTATACCACAAAGGTGACAATAAAGCATACAACCTGTCTGATGGTAAACGGTCACTGTAGCCTATGATTGCCTGCAATACTAGGGGTGTCACGTGTACGTTACCGACCCTGAAGAAAACTTACTATACCCTTGTTGAAGAACCCTACACTGTAGTCTCTAGGGAAACCTCGGCAGAGACCTCATTCCACAACTTGAGTGTTCACGGGAGAAAATATCTTTGAAACCACACTGTACGTGACCATTTCAAGTGCATGAGGATAAATTCTCTGTCGATTTGTAATATATTTAAAACATAATTATTGTAAATTTAGCTCATAATGAATTGTCCATAAAATAATAATTTTGTGAAACTGTCAAATTAAAATAAGATTAAGGGACAACTTTAGGGAAATACCGCCTCAGAATGGCGCCCTTTGTCTTATTGCTTGATACCATTGTAATGTTATTATTACAGCTGGTCCATGGTGTACATTTATAATAACTAGCTGACATAGCAGTGGTCGAAATTCGACCATAAGATATAATAAATTTAATTTTGCTTCACGTATTAATATATACATATAAAATGCTTCAAAAGAACTTAATGTAAATACAGACAGTGTACTAATGTGCAATATATTACAGGTAAGCAAGCAGTACACTGATTACCTACCTCCCAATCGCCTACAACACTTGGAGCAGCAACTGACATATCTAGAAACGAGCAATGCCAAACTGAATCAACCGAAACCAACAAATGACACATATACTGGGATCATCAACCCTATTTACGACATAAAAATGCCCAGAGACAAATTCCGCGTTAAAAGATCTAAGTCTTTAGGCAGATCTTTTAGTTCCAGATCCTTAGGGCTGGAAGTGACTAGATACAATATAACGTTAGGTCGCAGAAGTGGGAAGAAGACAAACGATGTGGTCACAGCGATCACGGGAATGACCGGAGAGACAGGGTTGGAGCCGAAGAATAATTTCTACCAAAGAACAAGCACCGCCGATGTGGTTGGGGATTCTTATAAAATTAGCAGGGTTACAATTGATTGAATAAGCTGTGACAGCTTAGTTGGCCACTTGATCGTGCTCCGGGGATTCCAAAATCAAATCCCAGCTTAATCCTCTGAATTAATCAAATTTGTGTTTGGTTCGTCTAATTGTTGTCACATGCTTCTGAGAGTATGTAAGTCTTTGTCTTGCAAGTCACGTTAGAGGCTTTAATATGTATTGACGATGGCTCAGAAACTCTTGACACTAAAGGACGATATTTTTTGTAAGTAGTAGTAGTTTTTAATACATCTGTTTTATTATTTATTTATATATAACTTATTTAACTTCATCATTTCCGACAATTATTGCTACTTCATCTGAAAGTCTTCTCAGATCGAGTATGGTGCTTACATGGCAAAATCTTAACATATTAAATGTCCGTTAATTATTTGTATGTATATAAAATATACTGTTTGTTTTTATGTTTACATGTCATATATTTAATATAATAAAATGTTTGTACTGAGTTGCGATTTGATTTTTTTAACTATAAAACTAACTAGATTAGCAGACGTAAGTATATTTTAGTCGAAAATACTCGACTACCTTCGGAAGCATTCGGGACCCTCAATCGTGCTCGCGCCGTGACACGAGCGCGAGCTTATTATTTCTTTGTTGGAGGTAGAATCTTAGTTCCAGATTCAGTAGAAATGTTTATTTCTAAAATACGCTGTATAGCAAAATTCGTGGAAATCATTAAAGTCAGGTGAATTCAAAACATTCGCTGATGTGGAATTCATACCATGATAACAATATAATTATTAGTAGACTGTTTCTATGGTGGCCATGGTGAGTAGGTTTACACTTACATTACAAATTTTCCTTTTCTTGCACTGTAAAAAAAAAAAACACTAGGTGTCATGTCGTATAGGGAGGTCAAGGATATGGCCTGGGATAGAGCTGGCCGGAAGAAGATGCATGAATTAGTTGCACTAACAAGAGGAAACTCTTAAATGAAAAGAAGACGAAAAAACTTTTCCTAACACTTTTTATGTATGGAAATTGACAAGTCTTCCTGTTAGAAATGTTACTGTATTTATCTTTATATTTCTCAGTATTTTTTTTTTTGATGGGTGAAAGTGGTATGGTAACCCCGCCTACCTAATGGTATGATAACATCTGAGTCCTCAGGAATGGCAACGCATGGGGGGTATCATGGACGAAACAGTACACTCTGTTATGCCCACGGTACTGTTCATGTCTACGAGTATAGGCGACGATTACTGCTTTTCATCAGGTGGGCCGTCAGTTTGTATGCCATTCCAAATTGCATAAAAAAAAGGTAGAGAAGTTTTTTTTGATGGATGATAATGGAACGGTAACCTCGTGAATTATATATGAGGACCAAGTCAAGCCAGTCAGTACATCGTGATGAATTTACCCAGACTCTGAATAAATAAATAAATAAATTTTGTTCATATAATAAAAATGTGTACAGAGCAATAGATGTAAGTATAAAATGGTGTATGGCAGTTTCCAAACTCTGTGAGTACACTGTGCAACTTTGTTACCGCTGTCGCTCGCCGGATACGTTCATTATATTCTTCAAAGTACCGAGAGATTGGATCCATCAAATGTAACGCAATACCTAATGTATCGATATCTCTAGATGTAGAATACATATAAGATGTACTATATCTATGTTGCTGTTAAAATATCGACTTACAGTGGCTGGTATTAGATTTGTAAATGCTTTTAGGTCGGATAGATATCGTGTTCTAACATCGTCTATTCTTATAGGTGAAAGCAGACAGTGTTTTTTTTTCTAGTATTTCTAAGCTTTATATATTATTCATCCGTTTTGCAATATAAAATACTAGCTGTATCCCGCGGCTTTGCCTGTGGTCGTGTGATGTTATTTTTGAAATGAGCTGTCGAATGGAAAAATAATTATAGATTACAGACCAAACAAACAAACTTTAAAGTATTATAATCTTTAGATTGATATTTGGGATATATTTAACTATTTTTATTACATAATTAAATTTTGTTCTACAAAAAAAAATGATGGAAATACCAGTTATTCTGATTTCAAAACTGAACTAATGAAACGATTTTGATAAAATGTCTATGGGATCAGCCTGTAAGTATATCCTTTCAGATTATAAAAATAATCCAAATAGGTTTAAACTGATGGAGTTATGAGGTAGTAAACAGTAATAAACATACAGAAATATAACCTTCTTTTTGAAGTTGGTTGAAAAGCAATTTAATATTTTGATTTGAATCTAATACCAGAATGAGATTATGTGCACAAGTCGCCCGCATGAGCTCCTCTGTCCCAATTGTATTTCTGTCGTTCTGCCGTTTTAGTTTGAAGGCTGGGATATGATATAGTGAAATAGTTCAGTAAAAAAAAAAAAAACAGTTAATAAGACTTAAGAAAAAGAAAACGTAAAATTTGTGACTTCACAAAATAAACTGGTATAGTGTTTTAATGTATTGTAAAATATTTATTGTAAATACTTTACATTGGATACATTAAAAGGATTTAAAATACAATGGTAAACTTATCCTACAGAAGGATCTCTTATAGTCAACTTTTTTTTTTTTACAACATAGGGGGCAAACGAGCATGCGGCTCACCTGATGGTAAGTGACTACCGCCGTCCATGGTCACCCACAACACCTACGGCATTGCAGGTGTGTTGCCGGCCTTTTAAAAAGGAATATGCTCTTTTCTTGAAGGTTATGTCGTATCGGTCGTATATACAACATCGTATCGTTGTTGTATAGCTAAAGGTAATACGAGTACATATGTAGTACATAAATGTAATACATAACTCTATGGTCCTGAGCCGCCTGTAACGCATTTCAGGTTGTCCCTCTATCTAGTGGGGGGTCGTCGTACATTGCGTTTACCCGTACGTGGTCACCACTCGAGAACCTTTCTTCTCTATCGGTTGTCGGTTCTTCGACCTATGTACCCATTGTACCTTCAGCTTGCTTATCCTTCGGGCTATGTCGGTTATTTTGGTTCCTTTGCGGATATCCTCGTTTCGGATTCTATCATGCAAAGACACTCCGAACATAGCCCTCTCCATAGTATTATTAAATAGTTGCATACACTTTTATATATGAATAATAATAGGACTGTAATGTGAGATTGTAGTGAAATGTACTCAAATTTAATGTAAAAAATATAACCAATACGACAACATAACCTTCAAGAAACGAGCATATTCTTTTTTAAGGCCGGCAGCACACCTGCAATGTCGTAGGTGTTGTGGGTGGGGTGTGGGCGGCGGTAGTCACTTACCACCAGGTGAGCCGCATGCTCGTTTGCCCCGTGTTGTAAAAAAAAATATAAATCTACACACACACACACACAGACACACATTATATATATATATATAATCAGGCTTTTAAGGGTTAAAACATCAACAAAGTCTAAATACGGTTGCTAACCTGCCTACCAAGCATCGAAATTATTGCTAAACCGGAAACTAGTACATTTTTAAACAGGCCCCCTCATAAGGGCAAAATCTCCCTTATGAAAGGGCCTATGTTTAGCAGTGCACTAGTTTCCTCTATCTATATATCTGTATAACGGTTGATATATAGATTTCATCATATATAGATACCTAGATGCTTGAGGCATTCGAAATGTGGACATGGAGGAGAATGGAAAGGATAAGCTGGACAGAAAAACTAACGAACGAGGAAGTCCTAAAAAGAGTGAACGAGAAGAGAACATTGGTTCAAATAATAAAGAATAGAAGAGGCAAAATGCTGGGCCACCTTATACGACATGACGATTTTTTTAAGAACATAGTAGAAGGAAAGATAGAGGGCAAAAGAGGAAGAGGAAGACCGAGGATTAACTACATGGGACAGATAAAGGAAACACTAGGCGTCATGTCGTATAGGGAGATAAAGGATATGGCCTGGGATAGAGCTGGCTGGAGGAAGACGCATGAATTAGTTGCACCGACAAGAGGAAACTCTTAAATGAAAAGAAGATATATAGATATCACTGAATATTTCTTCAAAGTAAATGATTGCTCTGAATCACTTCGTCGCATATAAGGCAGTTTTCAGAACTATTAGGTACGAAAGTGTAACAATCGACTCAAAACTCTAACGTGACCTATTTCCTGGAGCCACTTGCGAGCTTCTATTATTTATAACGCGTTTGTGTTAACGTGCCGCGGGAGCATTCATTTCACTCTATTCAGCCAGCAACCATCTTGAAATTGCACAGAGAATACAAGACTCTGGTCATAATGTCTGAAAAATGCATGGCGGACCGTGAAATAAAACTGTTGAAACAATTTCACTCTGCCTTGTGTTTTTTTTTTGGGTTTTGTACCAAAAAGTAAAAAAAAATGTACTTGTATTTATGTCTATATGTTTCAGTAAGCAATAAGTGTATTTTATGTAGTGAGAATAAATATTTATTGATAGAAAATCTAAATATAATAATATAAACGCAGTGTAGGATGACCCCCCCACTAGATGGACCTGAAATGCATTGCAGTGAGTCAGTGGATGCAGGTGGCTCAGGGCCGTTCTTTATGGCAGTCTATGGGCGAGGCTTATGTCCAGCAGTGGACGGATAATGGCTGGAATGATGATGATGTTAGAAAATATCAAAAATCTAAACTAAATATTATAAGGAAAAAAGTTTTTTTTTTTTTGTATGTTTGCTTATAGTGGATTAATTCAAAAACAACTTAATCGATTCTAAAAATTCTTTCACCTCTACGTTATCAGCGAGTAATTATAGAGGCGAGGCTGTATATTATTATATTTAAATAAAAGTGCAAACATGGTGCATGTAGTTAGCAACCAATAAAATTACCAGGTATATGTACTTTTTTTTATACAACTTCGAATGGCAAACAAGCTGACGGTCCACCTGATGGAAAGTGGTAACCGTCGCCTAAAGACATGAGCAGTACCATGGATATAACAGTACACACACATACTGTTTCACCCATGATATCCCCCATGCGTTGCCATTCCTGAGGACTCAGGTGTTATTCCTCTGTACCCTATAAATTTACGCCATATCTCACCCTTCAAACAGAAACACAGCCATGCAAACACAACTGCTTCACGGTTTTTTTCAAAATTTAAAATTCAAAAAAATTCAAAATTCAAAAATCATTTATTCATGTAGGACATTTTAGCCGCTTATGAACGTCAAATTTTTACATTATAATTTTATATTTACCCTACCGTCCAGTTCGGTATATAGGTCCAATTGAGAAGAACTGGCAAGAAACTCAATTGAATTACTTTTTTTTTTTTAAAGCCAGTTTATTTACAATGTATATTTATATAGGTGTCTATGTCTAACGTTAAATGAAAATTCAGTGCATGAACAACTATTGCCATGCACACTCGTCATTCAAGTAATCGTTTAGTGAGTAATAGGCTTTGCTCAGTAAATATGATTTAACAGATGTTTTGAATTTATTTAAGGGTAATTCCAACATATCCTTTGGTATCTTATTGTAA